GGCTGTGCAGAAGCGACTTAACGCCTCATGTGGATGGATAGTGGATTCGGCAGTTATCCAATTTTGGCGTGCTCCCAGCCGCTCTTTGCAGCGGTGCCAGGAGATTTTACTCGTACATACTAGGGTCGGTCAGTGCTCTCTGCGACAAAGCTCCGTGTGAGGCAATTGCGGTTTCTTCAAGTCAAGTTGCGCTTCCCCTTTCAGGTTTGCAGATTTTGGGCGCTCTTTTACTTGTATCCTATTTGTTGGGAGGAAGGTGCCCCCGCCTCCTTCTTGTTCGTCGTGCTCTTCGACGCGCTCAGTGGGTGGCATGTGTGATAGTTTTTCAGTATCAGCATGGGCTGAAGGAGTGAACAACGTTGCTATATCTGGTTCATTCTGGGGTGTGGCGTATTGGAGGTACTCATTTACGGTATCCACGTGTTCCGTAAGCTTCAGCCGTCAGGTCTTCTGGTCATACCCTTTTGATCTGTTTCTCTCAGCGCTGGCATATCCAGAGTTCGTCGTCGAGTCCTTCCTTTCGCCGCGGGCTCGGAGAAGGTCAGCGTCAAGTGTGAATCATCGCTTCGCGATAGGTCTGAATCTCTGAATATCTTCCTCCTCCTCCTCCTTCCCCTCCTCCTCCGCCTCCTCCTCCTCCTCCTCCTCCTCTTCCTCCTCCTCCTCCTCCTCCTCCTCCTCCTCCTCCTCCTCCTCTGCTTCCTCCCCTCCTCCTCCCTGTTTTCCCTTCCTCCTCCTCCTCCCCTCCTCCTCCTCCGCCTCCTCCTCCTCCTCCTCCCCCATCCTCCTCCTCCTCGTGCCCTTCTCCCCTCCGCCTCACTCCTCCTCCTCCCTTCCTCTCCTCCTCCTCCTCCTCCGCCTCCTCGTCTTGTCCGCCTCCTCCTTCTCCTCCTCCTTCTCCTCCTCCTTCTCCTCGTCCCCCCCCGTCCTCCTCTTCTCCTCCTCCTGCTCCTCCTTCTCCCCTTCCTCCTCCTCCTGCTCCTCCTCCTCCTCCTCCTCCTCCTCTTCCTCCTCCTCCCCCTCCTCTTCCTTCTCCTCCTTCTTTTCCTCCTCCTCCTCCTCTTCCTCCTCCTCCTCCTGCTCCTCCTCCTGCCCGGTGTCCTAATGGTGGCTCCGGTCGAGCGGGGTGCCGCGCGCCGCCGCCGCGCCCGCAGCCCTCCCTGGCTCGGAGCGCGCAAGCCCGCGCGCACGGCAGGCGGCCGGCGCCGCCCCGCGTGCCCAAGAGGCCGGCCGAGCGAGAACCCTAGGGGCGGTTTAGAGGAGGGTCGGAGGGGGGAGGAGAGGGTACAGTCGGACCGAGGTACAAGATCAAGTTCGAAGCGAGGTTTTCGGGCGTTGTCGTAGTTTCCTGGCGGCTTTCCGCCCTCGGGATGCGTTCCACCGTGTGCGCCTCGCCGAGAGCGTTCCGGGGGTGCCTGGATCGTCCCGAACGGCCACCGGAGAGCTGAGAGATGGACCAAAAAACGAATTCGGCGGCGCGCCTGGGGGGTACGGTCGGACCGAAGTCTGAGATCGAGGTCGGTTCGGGGAGGGTGTCTTGATGTGTTTCGTGCTTGTGGGATGTTTTTGCGCATCCTTGGGAGAGTACCCTCGGATTTTCTGCGTGCGTTGGCCAGCGGAGGGTCTCTAATTCTTGAAGGGTGTTATGATGTTCGGCCCGACTGTACCCAAACCGCTACCCCCGCCTCGTTTTATCTCCATTCTGGACCTCCTGTGAGGCCCTCGTAGCCACCGCTGGATTCGCCTCGAAGTTCTCATCAGAGCGGGGAGGACAGAGTAACCACACTCACCAGACAAGAAGAACCACCACCACTAGCTAAGGGGGCTGGCCGCTCTTCTTTCCGAGCTGGTGGCACCCCGTTCCGAGCGCGCCCCCAGAGAGTGCCCGGAACGGAGTGCCACAAGCTCGGAGGGGTGGTCTTTAAGAACGGGGTTCTATGGAGTTCTGGTGGTAGTGGCTCCTTATGCTCTCACGACATACCGCTACACTCGCCTCGTTGTATCGTTTTTCTTGGGCCTCCTGGGAGGCCCTCGTCGACACCGCTGGATTCGCTTCGAAATTCTGGTCAGAGCGCACCCCAGGAGAGGTCTGGGGAGTAGCGGTATCGGTACATTCCTGCTTCCTCCGAGGGGGAGGGGGAGGTTAGCGGCGCGCAAAGGGGGGCAGGAGGGGCAGGAGGGGCAGGAGGGGCAGGAGGGGCAGGAGGGTGGGGGGGGGAGATGGGATGAGAGAAGAGTCCCGGGAGCAAGATTTGCCTCCTTCCGTCCGGGACGAGGGTGGAGGGCACCACGGGCACTCCCCGGACCAGCTCGGCTTTGTGCATTGCTCTTGAGAGGCTGAGGCTGGCAGGAAGCGTTGAGTCGAGTTCGGAGTACTGTTTGACTATAATTTTTCGTCCCAAATCCCCCTGTAGGAGGACATGCCCGAGCTAAAGGTAACGCAAGACAAGCTGAGCGCCTCCAAGGCCGTGCACTCGTCGTAGTGCTGGGCATCGAGACCTGCGCAGAGGACCGCGGCGTGGCCGTCGCCCCAGAGAGCTACGATGCCACCGCCCCCAGGCTTGCAATAGCCCTTGTTGCTGTCGCAGCGTGGTGGCTCGCGTCCCTCGCCTCCTCCGGGGCGAACTTGCACGGCCACTGCAGAACTCGCGGCAGAGATCCTCGCACAAGCCTGCTCGAGACTCGGGAGCGGCTCGTTCGTCGCCTTTCCTTAGGGGGCGGGCGGACGGAACCCAATCTACTCTCAACACCTTCATACTTCATGTTTCTGCCTCCTTCTGCCGACCGATGGGTACTCGTGGGCTCCACCCCTTTCCCTTCGAGCTCTTCGAAGCCAGACTTCGGCACTGCCTCCGAGGCCGCCTGCGGCGTTGCGCGCAGCGCCGCTGGCCACGTCGTTCTCGGCGGCCGCGGGCCCGGCCGCTGACAGCTCTGCTGCCTACCTTTAAGCCAGGCGTGTCCCTCCTAAAAAATAAGTTAAAACATCGTTTTAAACAATCGCTTTAAAGCATCGCTTTAAAACATCGTTCCCTCCTTCGGGGAAGATCCAAGCATCGTTTTAGAAAATTGGCATGCCCGACCTGAGCCTGCCTGGTGGCCGACGCCAGCGGGCCACGCCCCCTCCCGGGGCGGAGAGCAGGGCAGGCCCCTCACCTCAGAGCCTTCCGGCACCGCGCCGCTACGCCTCGCGACGCACGCATTGCGCCTCCGCTGTCGGCAGCAGCACCCTCGTCGGCGCGCTCCTCCCTCGGAGGAGGAGGAGGGGGAGGAGGGAGGGAGTCGGAGGAGGAGAAGGAACCCATACCTCTACCCTTGCCCAGTTTTCCCCTTTTTGGGCCTCCTGGGCGGCCCTCGTCGCCACCGCGGGATTCGCTTCGAAATTCTGGTCAGAACGCACCCCGGGAGAGGTCCGGGGAGTAGCGGTATCGGTACCTTTTGGTTCCCCCAGGGAGGAGGGAGGGAGCAGCTCGCACACGTGACGGCAGTCCCCACGGTGTCGGGCCGGCGTCGACTCGTTGGGCCCGGCGGCAGCGCGGCCAGCGGCCAGCAGCGCGGCGGAGGCGGGGGCAGACGGCCGTCGAGGCAGCCCTGCGTCGCGCAGAGGCCGGCTGCGTGCCGGGCTCCCGGAGGGACCGCGAGCTGGCCGCGAGGCTGGCGCTGAGGTGCGCGGCGAGCGGGCGGCGTGTCCCAGGCGCCGCAACGCCCGCGTGGCGCGCGAAACACGTGCCGCCCAGCTGCTTTCCCAGGGGCTCCGCCAGCGGGGCGACCTGGGCCGCCGCCAGACCCGGGCATGTTTGGCGAAAGGCGGCTGGGCCGGGGGCGGAGGAACTCGAGGACGTGTCCCAGGAGCGCAGCGGGGCACGGCGCAGCGGCGGCAGCCGCGGTCGAGTTGCACCACGGGGCTCGGCAGCGCGTCAGTCTCTGGTGTGGCGCGCATGCAGCGTGCTGGCTCTGGCGTGCAGAGCACGGCTGGCGAAAGCTCTGGCATTGCCATCAGCCGCGACGCTGAGCCGCTCGTGGATTTTCGCCGCCAGGTCGTCTTCGTCGCGGTGCTGGCAAGGCGATCGAGGCAGCCCTTCGTCCGCCGCCGTGCAGTGCTCGACGCAGGGAATGTCTGTTCAGGAGCATGGCGGCGAGGTCCTCGCTGCCCCCGCCGATATTGTCGTCGAGCCTGCAGGAAAGAAGGCCAGCCGCAATGGCGATGGAGATAAACGGCGTGCGAGTCGTACGCATCAGCACTCGCACGAGGATTGGGTCCTTGGTCCATGTGGTGTTCTCGGCGCAGAGTGCGCATACGTCGACCTCAGAGACCGCGTAACGGCAGCCAAACGAGCTGCCCAGTGAGGACGCGGGTTTGCCGAATCAGTTGGTCTGGCAGGTTATGCCGGATGCTGTAGCGTGCCGAAGCAACTTGTAGGAGCACGTTGTGGCTGCCCACCGCTTCACCGACTTCGAGTCTTTCTGGCTTTGTCGACTGCTGAGCTCACGCCGTGGGATCATGCAGTTGGACGCATGCAAGGATGAAAAAGGGATGATGTGCATCAGAAATGAGGACAATATGGGTGGAGGAAGATGGGAGCGGGGAGGAAGCAGAGGGAACAATTATGTAGGGGATTGGGAGCGAGGGTGGCGGGGAGCAGGGGGAGGGGATGGGTGAGAGGAGAGGAGGGTACGTGAACGGGAAAGAGGGAAGGATAGGAAGGGGAGGGAAGAGGGGGAGGGGAGGAGGAGGAGGAGGAGGAGGAGGAGGAGGAGGAGGAGGAGGAGGAGGAGGAGGAGGAGGAGGACGAGGAGGAGGAGGAGGGCGGAGGCGGAGAAGGAGGAGAGGAGGTGAGGGAGGAGGAGGAGGAGGAGGAGATGGAGGATAGGAGGAAGGCGGAAGAGGGACGCCGCCGACGCCGACGACGACGACGACCACGGCGGCGGCGGCGGCGACGGCGGCGACGATCCCCGACATATTCCGTCAGCCCGGCAGGGGCGGCGGCGTGCGCGCGGGCGCCATGCGTCTGGCCGAGCTGCTGGGCGGCGCCCGCTTCCCCGTGGCCTGCGGCCTGGCCCCGAGCATCGGGCACCTCGACGCGGAGGCGCGGGGAAGGGAGAGGGGGGGAGGAGGCGCCTCCTCCTCCTCCTCCTCCTCCTCCTCCTCCTCCTCCTCCTCCTCCTCCTCCTCTCCTCCCCCCTCTTCCTCCTCCTCCTCCCTCCTCCTCCTCCTCCTCCCCTCCTCCTCCTCCTCCTCCTCTCCTCCTCCCATTTGGGGGAGGTAGGCGCTGGGGGAGGTGGATCGAGGAGGAACCAACAACTGCACAACCATAAACTGTGGGTCGCTCCGCGGGGGTTTCTTGGATCCGCGCTGCGACCCCCCCCCCCTGGCGGTGCCTCGGGCGCCGCCCCTGGCGCGCGGAGCGCGCCAGGGAGGGGCGGGTCCAGCGCAGATCCTAGAAATCCGCGCGGAGCTCCAAAAGTTTCTGTTTATGGCGTTTTTCCTTCTTCTAGGGAGGTGGAGCCCAGCGTGGAAGGAGGGGGATGAGGTGAGGGGGGACCGCCTGATGATGATGATGATGAGGAGGAGGAGGAGGAGGAGGCCGAGGAAGAGGAGGGGAGGAAAGGAGGGACAGGAAGGCCCGGGAGGCGGCGGAGGAGGCGAGTGGAGGGGAACCCGCGGAGTAGGCGAGGATAGAAGAGGGGAGGAGAGAGAGGAGGAGGAGCAGGGAGAGGAGAGTGACGAGGAGCAGGAGGAGGAGGAGGAGGAGGAGGAGGAGGTGGAGGTGGTGGAGGAGGAGGAGGAGGAGGAGGAGCAGGAGGAGGAGGAGGCGGCGGCGGCGGCGGCGGCGGAAGAGGAGAGTGGATGGGAGCCAGAGGAGCGGCCCCGTCCCCTCTCGATGCCTCTCGGGGCCTGGCTTCTCCCAGGCTGGGTGCCGGGCCCGGGAGGGAGGGCTGGTAACGGGTGGGGCAGGATGAAGCCAGGCCTCGCCGAGCGCGTTCCACTACTCGCAAAGTGCCTACTCGCAAACTCCCGAAACAAAAACACATGTTTGCTCTGATATAATGTATCGTAGATCCCCCGCGACGGATCCAGGCCATTTGCGAGTAGTGACGTTGGGAATAGCGGAACGCGCTTGCCTAAGGCCTGTCCCTCGGCAGGAGGAATATTCCAGAACAGTCAAAACATGGTCTGGGGACGATGTTCTGACTCTTTTTCCGATCGATTTTGAGCCTACTTGGCTGTTCCTCTCATTAGTTTCTCCCAAACAATGCTCCCCTTGCAGGAGGTCATGCCCGACCTCAGGCCAGGAGGGAGGTGAGGTGGGCTGGAGGGCCGCAGTGGTGGCGAGGAGGAGCGGAAGGATCCCGGCACCCGGGGCATGCCGCCGTCGCCTCCCCCCGCCCCCGCATCGGGCGGCGGCCTGCCGCGGGAGCAGGGACCGAGACGCGACGACGAGCAGGATGGCGAGACGCAGTGCGGAGGAGCAGCAGGATGACCAATCCACATTTGGCAGCGGGTCGGGGGGCACGAGGGGCCTCCTCCTCCTCCTCCTCCTCCTCCTCCTCCTCCTCCTCCTCTTCCTCGCCTTCTCTTCCTCCTCCTCTTCCTCCTCCTCCTCCTCCTCCTCCTCCTCGGGGATGTCCAGGGAATCTTCATGGGAAGATTGGGCAACGCCGGCGGCCCGCCGGCGGTGTGGGCGGGCGTCCTGGGAACCCACGGATGGAGTTGAGTGTTCAGCACTTGCTGCAACCTTGGAGGATGGGGGAGGCGAAAGCCAGGAGAGCAAGGGCGTGGAAAGATTGAGTAGGAGAGAGGTGGACAACCACACGCTCGCGGAGCCCGAGCCCGATGAGCTGAACGTCGGGCTGGCGAAGCCCGAGTCCGCGAGGCAGAGCCTGGGCTCCTCCCCAGAGGTGCGAGGCCCACCTCTCTCTCTCTCTCCACGTGGATCCCCGCTTGGCCCTCGCCCCCCGTGCCAGCCATCAAAACACCTGCCAGTCAGGAGACTGAGGAGGTGGAGGAGGAGGAAGAGGAGGAGGAGGAGGAGGAGGAGGAGGAGGAGGAGGGGGAGGCGGAGCAGGAGGAGAAGGAGGAGGAGGAGGAGGAGGAGATGTGAAGGAGACGAGGAAGAGACGATGAGGAGCAGCAGCGGCAGCTGGAAGAGCGGTAGTGGATTTGGCCGAGAGGTGGCTGTGGTCGGCCGCACCCTTTCAGACCCGTTCTTTCAGACCCGTTCTCTCCTCGAACTTCCTCCCGTCTCCGCCCCCCGCCCTCCCGCCCCCGTCCCCGTCTCCGTCCTCCTCGCTTTCGCCACTCTAGCTTTGCTCGCACATTCCTCCTCCCTCCCCCCTTTTCCCTCCCTGGCCCAAGCCGACTACCCGCTTCCACTGCCCGCCTCCGTCTTTCCTTCTTCTCTCCCTCCCTCCTCTAGTTTTTGTTTACTGCTGCAGTCGGTTATCCTTGTCTGCGCGACGGCTTTTCATCATATCTGATGGAGATCGTTCCTTCTTTTCCCTCAGCTGCCAGGGTTGCGTTGGTAGTAGGCCCTGATTCCCACACCTGCCGTATTGGTATGGCTTCGATACGTTGGATTGTCGGGTATTTAGTCTTGCCCATCGGTTCACGGCCTTTGCTGAATTCGTTTGATGGCCTGGGAAGTCACCACAGTTTCCTCACATCTGGGATTCTCCAGTAATTCCAGAGCTATCCACAGGGCCTCGTCATCAGGTGTACTCATTGCTGCAATCTCTGCGTTTCCAACAGCATCTAACCACGTGCCCCTTATTTGCTTGGAATATGTGTCAGATGCCGTAGGGTTTCGCCCATAGCATCGAATCTTAGGTGTCATCGGTTGCTTACGTTTTCATTTGCTCGTAGGGTCCCGGCCCTATTCGTCTTCGCATTTTGGGGTAATGTGTGTTTTGCCTGTGGGATTCAGAGGGTCCCAGCGAGGACGGCCCCGGACGTAGTCGCACTGCTTAGTGCAATTCTACGGTAGTTGCCCATCTCCCATCATGGTATCGGTCCACGGTGCGTTCTAGCCCATACGCCTTGCGGGTGCCGTCCATAGGGTCTCAGCATTGGTTGCCCGTTTGAGATTTCCGAACGATTCCCCAAGCGTTTCCACCCATAGGGTCCCAGCATTACTAGTTGATCTTAATTGCTGGGATCTCTAATAAGTGCCAACGGTTCTCGCATGTCGGGTCCCGCTCTTGGTGTCTAGTTGCTTGGAATATGCGATGGTTGGTCATTCTGATGGTCCTGGCATCCTTACCCTCTCGATTGTTGGGGTTGCTGATCGTTTTTAGTCTCGCCCGTACTGTCCCGCAGCCCCTGCGCTGAACTCGGCTTCTGGTTCGATGGTCGTTCGTTCACGCCCCGCATCTTCCCTCCGCGTCCTCATCCTGCTAAGCGGGTCAGGGTTACAGCCTATTAAATCATGATGTTGCACATGCCATAATATTCTCTGCTGTGTGCTCATCCTCTTTCTGATTCGCTTCGTCCTTGGCTCGATTCTTTCCTGCTTGTTTGATCCTCGGCTGGTTATGGCCCAGCTCGGTTCGCCCCAACTCGATTTGTCCAGGTCTCTGGGCTCGACACGAACCCGAAGACCACTAATCCCAGCTACGACAAACCTGCGATGCGTCGGTTGTTCGAGATATTGCTTAGAGATCAAACTGCGGACAGTCTCGTCCATTAGGTCCTCCCATCCTCACCTATCTCTTCACTCCCCCTTTCCCCCCGGCTTTGCTCGTGTAGCACCTCTGTGCGCGCGCTGCTTTATGGGCGTCTCGTCGCACACTAAATCTTTGCCTTCTTCTCCCCCCTCCATTCACCCGCCCTCTGAGGATTCAGGCCATCGTGCAGTGTTTGGACCTCCGGCCTTTGTCACACGGCTTGTCTCTTGTCTCCCTGGCCTCAGCTGGTTTCTTCGTTGTACGGCTTGGTGTCGAACGTTGTGCATGGGCTCGTGCATGTTCCGCCTCGATGGCGGGCAGCTCTCCTTCGTCTCGAGATGCGGTGCAGTTTTGTTATGATGGTAGGCAGTGCTCTTGCATGAGGTAATCATTGAGGATGAAGTGGGGGAAACTTCTCCCCCTTCTCGCGTCCTCTGTTTTCCCTCTTCTCTGTATCATCATGGTTTCCTTCCCGCCACCTTCGATGTCTCCCATGCAGCTCCTCTCCTCCCGCTCCTGTCGTCGCTGATCGACTCATCCCTCTTTGATTCCTCATCTTCCCAGGTGCGAGCGGTGATTTCGGAGCTGTGGGACGTTTTTGTGAAGTCGGAGGACTGCTCCGTGAGCAGAGAGCTCAAAGTATCGCCGACCACGGTATTGCAGATTGCGGTCGCATTCATTCCTGGTGATCTTCATGTGACATCTCCAGCGACGTGATCGGATCGGTTCGATCGTGAATTCCGCTCACAGGCCTGCGAGGGCAATAGTGATTGGCTGCTTGGCGACCCAGCTGGAATGACAACATTTTGGGGCATGTGGAGTCAGAAGAAGGGGAGGACAGTGTCTTGACCTCACATCCGATCTCGATGGCAAGCTTTGTTGCTGCTGATCGTCTTCCCCCTCTTCCGGCTACTTCCTTTGCCGTCGTTATCTTTCTTCTCTCCCCTCTTCGTCAATCCCTCGGGCGATACATTTCGACCCTTCTCTACGCTACCGAGCCATGACTGTGCACGTCAATCGTCATCTGTCTTTCGTCTTTTCAATACGGCAGCTCCTTGGTCTGGGCTGATCGCGGGGTCGGGGATCCGCATATCATATTTCATGGGTTGTCCTCTCTTGCACGTAATTCTCCCCCTTCTCCATCGTCTTCTCGTCTCCTCCTTATACACCTTCTGAAATGTGTCTTGAATGTTGATCCGGATAGGCAGCGCATCCGATATGAGGACGCCCCCCCCCTCCGTCACCCCCTCCCCCAGCAAGCCGTGCGCCTAAGCTCCCGAGCGAGCCACAGGTCTCGCAGCCGACCCAACTCGAATCGGCACTCTAGGGTGCCACATGTACCACGTTTTGTGGACAATGCATGTGCCGTATGTCTGCTCGCGGTTTGTGTGTGCGCGTATGTGAATGTGTGTGTGCGTGTCTGTGTGTGCGTGTGTGTGTTGTGTGTATGTGAGCGTACATTTGTTCATGCCTTGTGTTGTTCGTCGTCCCCCATGTGTTGCATCCGGTGTGTGTGCGCGCGTGTGTGTGTGTGTGTTTGATCATAATGTGTGTATGCGTGTGTGTGTGTGTGTAGCCACTCGTCCTCACGTGCATTGCGGCGTAATTAGCACTTGTATGCTCTGCATTTGCTCCATTCGCCAGCGCAGTCACTCTGCCTAGCCGCCGACGTAAAAAGTGTGTGCATCCCCCCTTTTTCCCGTTTTTCTTAATTCTGCGCGTTTGGTTTTTGTTGTGTCTCAGCTGGCGCGCCCTTACAGCTGGTGCCGCGCTGGCTCGGCAACCGGGACGTCCTGCGCCGCCGCCCGCCTCTCGGCCTGCGCGCTCCTTCTGTCTCACGCTCCAGTGATGCCGCACCTGCTCTCACCGCACGGTGCCTTCGGCCCCTGCCCTCCTGCCAGCCAGGTGGCGCTCGGCCTCTTCCGTCTGCACGCTGCATGGCCGCTCGCCGACATCTTCCACGTGCACGCTGCTATTCTGCGCCTTCTTGTTCGGGGGCGGCCAAGAGGGGGGTGATGACTGGGGGGGGGATATCATGGCGTGGGCCATGATATCTCCCCAGATTTCATTACGTCCCGAGCCCCCCCCCCCCTGGGCCGCGCACTTGCAGTCGGCCATGACTTGCGCCCCCCCCCCCCCCCTTGGACGCCCCCCTCTTGGCCGCCTTCGATTTTTCTCCACGCGAAGGCCTCGTCCAGACCACCCAGCTGCCACGCCTGGTGGAATTCCGCTAAGAGCGTGGCCCATCTTGGTGCTCGTGAGGGTGCCGCCACCCCGCTGCTGCAGGACAAGTGTGTGTAGGTGTGCGTGTGTGCGCGCATGTCTTCCGAAAGCAAGCATCGATGGCCAGGGCTACGGTCCAACCGCTCTGCCAGGACCGCCACAGGCTAATTCTTCGCTCTCCCCCCTCGCCCAGTGTTCTTTGTCATTCCTCCTCCTCTTCTCCCTCCTCCTCCTCCTCCTCCTCCTGCTCCTCCTCCTCCTCCTCCTCCTCCTCCTCCTCCTCCTCCTCCTCCCTCCTCCTCCTCCTCCTCCTCTCCTCCTCCTCCTCCTCCTCCTCCTCCTCCTCCCCTCCTCCTCCTCTTGTTCTCAATATTCATTATCATGATTATCCTAGCCCTTGTTACTATATCCTCCTCCTCCTCCTTCTCCTCCTCCTCATCCTCCTCCTCCTCCTGCTCCTCCTCCTCCTCCTCCTCCTCCTCCTCCTCTTGCTCTCCTCATGCTCTCGAACATTGCGCTTGTCTGGGCTTCTCTGCACTGTGCTTTAGCTGCGTTCGCTCTCTTTTTGCCTCCTCTCCTCCCTCCGTGTTCCCTTCCCCTCTGGTTTGCTCGTCTTGGTCCTGGTGCGCGCGCCGCGGTCTGAAGGGCTCTGCACCCACGAGCTCTGGTTTTGCTCAGCCGCTTCGCCCTGCTCCTGCCCCACGGGCTGCTTCACTGTCTTGGGCGTCGCGTGCCTCTCGTCCTCGCGCTGGTTTTGGGGGCTCCGCTCGCCTCGCTGCGTCTTGCTGCCAGCCTGGTGCCCTGGCCTCCGGAGGGGCGCCGCACACGACGCCGGGAAAGCTGACGCCATCCATCCGCTCCTCTGTCTCGCGCTGCGGCGTAGCCCTGCTGCGGCGATGTGCAGTGCTCGAGGGCGGAAGCATCATGCTGGTGCTTCCTGCCGTGAGGAAGTCCAGTTCCTAAAAAAGGCGCTCTGAGTCCTCTTGAATCGGGCCTGTCCCTCTCTACAGGGGGGAATATCCAAGAATGGTGCAATAAGAGTCTGGTGACGATGTTTTGAGTAGTGATGGGCATGTCTTGAATATGTTTGACTTCTCTTTATTTGTCGTGCAAGCTCCGCCTGTAGGAGGACACGCCCGACCTAAGGGTCTTCCCTGGAGACGCGGCCATGTTCGCGCCCGGCTCTCACTCTTCTTCTTCTTCTTCTTCTTCTTCTCCATATCAACCTTTGTTCCCAGCCATCGTTGGTCATCGTCGTCCTCGTGCCTCGTGTCCTCCTATCCCTCAACAGCCCTCTTTTCTTGTCTGGCCCGACGTCGAGGCCCGGAGCAGTACAAGGGCTTCGTGAGGCGGATCGTGCGCGTGCTCTTGCCAGGCCTCAAGGCCGACCAGGAGGAGACGGTGGCGGCGAACACGTGGCAGGAGGATGCCAGAGGCTGGGGCGGACAGGAGGTGGAACTCGACGACGAGGACGACGAGTAAGACTCTAGGCCTCCCAGATGGGGTCCGAGTAGATGGGGTCGGAGGATCGCGCCGCATCGCCGATGCATCGACGATGCGGCTCGATGTGGAGCCCGTGTTTCTCCACGTCGACGTTGGCGATGCATCGCCGACGTCTCCGATGCATCACCGATGCATCGGAGATGTATCGGCGATGCGGCGCGATCCTTCGATATCATCTACTCGGACCCCATCTGGGAGGCCTCTAGAGACGAGGATCACGAGGGGTCGCAGGAGGAAACAGAGGGATCGGGCAAGGAGTCAAAAGGAAGGCAGAGGAGGACGAGAAACAGAGCAACACCAGGATACATCAGAGAGGTTGCGTTGCACCATCGCGTCCCAGTACCCTTCCGCATCAGCCCCTGCAGCCGTGAGCTGTCACTGCGGCAAGTGGCCCCTCGGAGTGGAAAGCGCCCCATGGTCTTGCCGCTCGGGCGAAAGCCCCGTCATGAAAAGAGTCCGCCCTACATTCGGTTATGTATCCATTTGATGCGCACAATGCTAGCAGCAGACGGTTCAAGGATGTACTCAACGAGGGCCCTGTTTTGAAAATTGGAGTCGCCATCTGTTTGCGCCGTTGTTTCACACAAGCTCTGGTTCGCCCTGGAAATCCAGGTGGTGTTTCAAGCAAGACTTCACGTTCGACAGGAAGCCACCCCTGATCCGTGTAAAGGCTCCACAGTCCCTCAACGTATATACAGGCGCATCCTTCGCGCACGTCTGAAGCAGCAACCCCTTTTTAGAAAGAAGCCGCCTTACACCCCCATGAAGCCGGTGGACGCTTTCAGATGATCGTTGTTTTACTCATTGTTTTGCCGATCGGCGCGGGCCCTCGCACCCCCCCCCCCTCCCATGGAGTAGATCTTGGCTGTTTTTGGCGCCTGTTTTGAGCAGGTGGGGTCTCCCCGTAGGACGCACTGTTTGCAAACAGTCGCACTAAGCAGAGGTCCGGAGCCAGACCCCTTCCCCCTCCCCCCCCCTCATCCACCCAATGCCGAAACGCCGAATAAGAAAACGCTCACCATGAAACTGGTGGACGCTTTCTGGACGAATGCGCGAGACGCTAAAGCTGAGAGCACTACCCGTCGTCCAGTTTTCTGAACTGCTGGATGCTTGTAGGGCGACTGTGCGCGGCGACTTGGTCATGTTCAAGGACGACCTGGCCTCCACGCGTGATAGCCTATGGGAGGTTGTCAGGGCTCGTTTCGATTCATCCGATTCGATGCGATTCGATTTTGATGGATTCTGAGTCCGATTCGATGCGATTTGGGACTCCGATTTGAGTTCCGATTTCTTATTGGAGGCTTACCAGCCTGCCGATGTCCGCCGACTCCACTTTTCCCGACTTGGCTGCCGATTTCCGCCGATCCGATTCATGTCGATCGCCGATCCGCCTTATTCGATTATGGGCGCTCCTGCCTTTGGGAGGATGTGTGCAAGCGATCTTGTGCGACGACACGGCGAGAACATGTTGCGGGCGGCCCGCCTTCTTGGTGCAGGTCACGGTACAGATACTAGGCTTCATTGTCCGAGGCGGTGAAATAGCGACAGGAGAAGCTCCCAGTCTGCCTTGCCGACAAGTCTTGGGATGCGATTGGGAGGGTCCTCTCATATGGTGCGGAATGGTTGATGGGGAAACATGCCAGGGGCTTGCGCGGATAGGACGAAGAGTGGTGGTCTGAGTTTTTTGGACATAGCCACGTCATACCCTCGTATTGTTTTCTGGCTCTGGTGTGACCGCTCCCATTGGTTGGTGTTGAAGCGTTATTGTGAATGTATCGTGCCCGTGAAAATGGCATGTCCTCTGCCCATGTCATTACATATTGTTTTGTCTTTGGTACGCTCCCAAATCTCTATCATATTCGTGTTCGTGTTGCCTCCATTCGACTAGTTGTTCCGATTAAGTTCCGCGATCTGTTTTTGGGGGTGCTGCCGAGTTTTTTTTTGTGCGCCGTGCTTTAATGCTGGGGTGTGGAGGAGGGCGATGCTACGGAGGGAAAATGGAACGGGTGGAAGGGGGGGAAGTGGAATGGGGGAGGGGGGAGGAGGAGGATAAGGGAAAGAAACATGGAAAGGAGGAAGAGGATGAGGGGAGAAACGAGGACGACGACGAGAATGAAGATGAAGATGCCAGAGGCTTGGACCGACTGACGTTTGCCCCGTTCTTCGAGGCCGTCATCAGATTCTCCAGTAATTGGACGGATTCTGACGATCCCACGGCCATTGCAGCGTTCATCAAAGACCTCCTCCTGCGGATCACCAAGGTCGAGGTGACGGTGACCGCAACTGGACAGGCCGTGCAGAAGGACAACGTGGTCCAGGCGAGCTCTCGGAAAATTGAACCACACGCGCTGTGTCTGTCACGTGGGTGTTTGTTATTCGGTGTGGAGATACCCCCCATCCCGCAGCATTGTGCTGTGAAGCGGCAATTTGCAGTCCTTGCTAAGCAACGTATACACTCTGGATGCCTTTCAGATTAATTGGGGGAATAGCAGGAGCGTGAGCAGGAGGAACGCGAGCTCGAGAGGCGTTGTCGGGAAGAAGGCGAGTGTTCGTGCGCAAACGGAGGGTATAGGTATGGCGAATTCTAGACGCTTCGCGTATCCCCACCAGCCCGTCCAGAAACGACGCCCAGGCGAGTAGAGGGTCGTCCTGAGGGGCTTTTCGGCGTCTTGGGTGCCTCGGGGGGGCCTCTGTGGGCCGTTCGGGATCCTCTTTGGGGCCTCCTGGGGGCCTCTTGGGGCCTCTTGGGGCCATCTTGGGGCCTTTGGGGGCCTCCTGGGCGCTTCTTGGGGCCTCCTGGGCGCTTCTTGGGTGCCTCTGGGGGGTCTCTTGGGGCCTCTTGGGGGTCTCTTGGGGGCCTCCTGGGGGCCTCTTGGGGGGCCTCGGAGCCATCTTGGAGGAGATCGATCAACGAAGGGGGGTTCCCTAATTACAGTCCCCCCCTCAGGAGCCACGATCCTCGTGAGGGGTGTCGAATTTTAGCCCTCCCAGGGGTCGATCTTGGGCGCTCCAACGCGCCGCGGAACCCCCTGTCCAGGTCAGTGGGGAGGGGGTAGGGGGAGGGGTAAACCCCTCCCCGAAGGGGAAGAAGGAGGGGTGGAAGAGGAAACGCTCTAAACCACCGACGCCCAGAGGGCTGGTGGGATTCGTCGGGGGTTTGCCTTTCTTGGCGCATTCGTTTCCCTCTATGAAATTTGCGGGAGTTGCCCTATGTACGGTTGTTATGCCTTGTTGTTCTTGTCCGCGATTCCTTACCGACACCGTTGTAGAATGTATGTTAAGAATTTGGGATTCATGTACGTGTGACAGTCACTGTGCGAGACTGCCATTGCACCCGCCAATCTGGCCCATTTGCCTTCCCTACTTCCCTCCTCCAGCCTAGCCCCCCTGACTGCAACCCCTCAAGCCAAACAGGGAGATGTCGGTTGATTTGGTAAGGTTCCACTGGTGGAGGGAACTTGAGACTCCGATGAGCGCCTGGTCCGAACGGGGCAACGGCAACGGGGATGAGGAGGTCGATGATTACTCTGCGGAGGAGGATGGAAGATCATTACGAGCCCTCGCTAGGTTGGCGCCACGCGTTGAGTGTGATTACCTATGTGTCAGACACGTGGTAGGTGCTGATACGACCACGTGCTCCCCTCTCTGCCTTCCGTCCTCTGTCCCCCCTCCTCCATCATCCCTTCTCCCTCCATCCTTCCACCTCCCATCTCCCCACTCACCCGTCCCTCCTCCCTGCTCCCTTCTCCATCGTCCTTCCTCCCTTCTCCCTCCTCACCAGGCTCTTCTGCCTGCCTGCTTTGCACCTTCTTCCATCACCATCTCCACCTTCCCTGACCCTTCCATTCGTCCATCCCCGCTGTTTGCTTCGTCCCTCCTTCCTCCCTCCTTGTCCCTCCATGCCACCTTCGTCATCATTTCTCTCCGTTCTTCTTCCTCCCCCCTCCTCCCCCCACCGCTCTCCAGACTCGCCCTGCCTCCCGCGGCGGCCTTCGCCGGGGCCGTCGTGGGGCGGGGCTCCCGGGATGTGCGCCGGACCTCGCAGGAGCCGCGGGCCCGAGGGAGTCAGCACAGCACGGGCACGTCGTCTCCACATGTTCCTCCTGTGGAGGGGGTGGAGGGGACGGGGGAGGAGAGGGTGGGGAAAGGGGTGGGGGTGGGGTGGGGAGGGGTGGGGAGAGGTGCGGAAGGGTGGGGAAGGGGGCGAGGGGTGGGGAAGGGTGGGGAAGGGGGAGGGGAGGGGGGGGGGGGGGGGGGGAGGGAGGGAGGGGAGAGAGGCGGCGAAGCAGGGGGAGGCTGCGAGTGAGGGCGGGGCCGAGCAGCAGCACGGGGGCAGGACCGGGAGGCCGCGAGCCACTCCCCCGCCCAGGTGGCATTCCGTGGTGCCAAGGCCGGCGTCGCCTCCGACAGGCGCCCGTCGGACCCGGCGTTGACTCGCCTCCTCGACGTCCGCCAGAAGGGCACGCTCCCGAAGTTCCAGCTGAGCTTGGCCCTGGGCAGTGGTGCCTCCGGCCCCCAGCCCGACCTCTGCTGCTGGTGGGAGGAGCCGCCGGCCAACCGAGAGACCGGGGGCGGGGCTCCTCACCCCCTCCTCTCCTGACTCCCTGCCTCATCCCAGCGGGTGGTGCCCGCAAGGGCGCCCTCCCCACCCCACATGTGGAGAAAGGAACAGGATGGTCAGGAGACGGAGGGCGAGGACGAGGCAGAGACGAGGCAGAGAGGGCGGAGGAGAGGAAAGACGGAGACGGATCCGGGCGGTGGTGCTGAGAAGAGCTCGGAGGTCTGAATGCGTCCAGCATCCAGCAGTATAGCACATACAACTTTTCTTGCCGGGATCATTCCCGCTGCGCCTTCTTCCTACTCCTGTTGCCCGTCCACTTCCTCCCCCTCTCCCGTCCCTCTCCCCCCTCCTGGCTTGCTTCCTTCCTCCGCTACTTCTTCTCCTCCCTCTCCCTCCCGCCTTCCCCCCATCCTGCGCTTCTCCCCCTCCCCTCGTCCCCCTCATCTCCCCAGTCCCATTGCAGTTGCAGGAGGGGCGTTTGAAGATCGCTGCCTCTTTTCCCCGACACATTCCTTCTCCTGGGCTCGACTCCGCTTGGGACGAGGTCGGCAGCGTCCGCATCCGCGCGCCCTTGACCCGCCCAAGGGGAGCACGGGGTCCAGGCTGGACCCCTGTTGTACCGTCCAGCAGCTCCCATCGCCATCCCCCGCTCGCACCCGACCCTCACCTCCTTAAAGGCCAACCCCCCTCGGCGCAAAGAGCGGAGGAGCAACCCAGAGGGGGGGGGAAGGAGGACAAGGAGGAGGAGGAGTAGGAGGAGATGAGGCGGAGGAGGAGGAGGAGGAGGAGAGGGAGGAAGACGAGAGATGATGATTCCGGGCGACTTCGTGGATCGCGGGTGGCTCGTACCCTGTGTCCCTCAATAGATATGTGGGTGCCTGTAGTCCGGGGAGGGTACCTTCGGAGGAGGAGTACCTGTAGTCAGGGGGGCGGGGTCCAGTAGTCCGGGGCTGGGTACTTGTAGTCCAGAGGATGGGTACCCGTAGTCCAGGGGGGGTGCCTGTAGTCCGGGGGGGTCGCGTGTTCATGCATCAATGCACGCGTGATTCCACGTACCTGTAGCTTCGGAGGGGTACCTGTAGTCCGACGAGAGACGGGTACCTGTGGTTCGGGGGGGGGGGTACCTGTAGTCCGGGGGTGGGTACCTGTATAGTCCAGAGGGGGTACTTGTATTCTGGGGGAGGGGTACCCGAAGTCGGGGGGGGGACCTGTAGTCCTGGGTACCTGTAGTCCAGGGGTGGGTACCTGTTGTCCGGGGAGGGTATCTGTAGTCTGGGGGATCCTTGTAGTCCAGGGACCCAGAACTATTGAGGGATACTGAGTACTAGGCCCTCTTGGCCGCCTGCCTGTCCTCGTCCGTGCTCGAGATCAGGCTCGAGGCGCCTGTCTTTGTGATTAGGCACCACTGACGCTGCAGGGAGGGGGAGGAGGAGAGGGAGAAGGAGGAGGAGGAAGAGGAGGAGGAGGAGGAGGAGGAGGTGGAGAGGAGGAGGAGGAGGAGAGGAGGAGAGGAGGAGGAGGAGGAGGATGGAGGAGGAGGAGAAGAGGAGAAGAGAGAAGAGAGAAGGAGGAGGAGGAAGGAAACGCGAGGAGCGAAGAGGAGGAGGAGGAGGAGGAGGAGGAGGAGGAGGAGGAGGCGAGGAGCGATGAGCGAGGAGCGAGGAGGAGGAGGAGGAGGAGGAGGAGGAGGAGGAGGAGGAGGAGGAGGAGGAGATAGGTAGGGGGGCAGGCCAGGGCTCCCGACGCCCACGGGCGGGCCACGCTGCCAGGAGGCGGGGCGGGAACCGCCGACGGGCAGCAGCCAGCGCCAGGGCCGATGTTCTCGAGGGCACGCAGGCGTTGGGACAGAGGGATTCTACTTGGGGTCTCTTCGGAAGACTCTCGGGGGCCTGTGGGGAGGAATTCTAGGGTCTCCTGGGAGCCTCTTGGAGGCCTCTTGGGAGCCTCTTGGGGCCTCTTCGGGTTTCCTAGGGACCTCTTGTGGGCCTCTTGGGGCCTCTTGGACACCTCTTGGGTCCTCCTGGGAGCCTGTCGGACCGAGGGCTCGAACTGTCCGTTCGGGTCCCCCGTCTGGGCACGCTCTTGGAGCCGTCTTGGGGGCCACTTGAGCCGTCCTGGAGGCGTTGTAGGGTGCCTTGGGGTCCTCTTGGGCTGTGTGGGGGTTCTATTTGAGGGCTCTTTGGCCGTCTTGCGGCGATCTCGGGGGTCTCGTGGGCCGTCTTGGAGCGGCGAGGAGCAGAAAAGGCGAGAACGCCCACATCCTGAAAAACAAAGGGAAATCCATGATTTGTTCCTCATGAACCCTTCTCGGGAGTGCTCTTGGAGGCTTCTTGAGACGTCTTGGCGGCCTCCTAGGTAGTCTGGAGGGCGTGAAGGCTCTTTGGACAGATAATTTGGCGATGGGGGGCCCTCCTTGGACCGCCTCGGGGGCCTCTTGGGGCGTTCGTGGCCCGTCATGGTACTTTCGGAGGCCCTGGGACCCCCACGGGAGGATGCGTATCTAACCTCCCCCCCGGGACCCTCTTCCCTACCCCCCCCCTCAACAACCTCCCCCACGGGGGAGGGATCAAAGCGGAGGGGCTCCCTTTCGACTCGATTGCAACATTGTTCGAGTTTTCCCTCGCTGACAGGCTTGAGGAGGAGGGCGCAGGGAAAGGGGACGACGGAGACGACGCCCGACTTAGACGGCGGCTCGAGCAGACGAGCCCCTCTCACACGCCGACAGGGCCGGCGGATTCCGCGGCCGGGTCTATCCGTCGGCCGGCCCCCGCGTGCAGGATGCTCCAGCGAGTCTCGTGGAGGCACGCCGTGGCGCCGGGCACGCACCAAGGCAGAAACCGCCCCTTGCCAGCAGGGGCCCCTGTGGAAGGTTCTTACCCCCCCGGCCTGCTCCGGGTTGCCATCTCTTCCTCGGCGGAAGGTCGGCGGAAGTAAAACGAGGCGGCCTCCGCCGGCGGAACGGCGGCGGAACGGCGGCGGAAGTAGAAAATGCGCACCCGAGAGCTGAACACGTTTTGGGGTCCAGGGTTTCCGAAATCGGCCAAGTGAGCCCCTCTACTTCTCATGACGAGGTTGCCCAATGCATTTGGCGTAATTCACAGCAGCGCGCCACGGTGCCAACTGCTGCTGGTCCTCGTCCGTTTCTGTGCAGCTGCGCACTGCTACTTCCTGCCCCTCCTCTCCCTGACGGGAGAAAGCCTCGGCCACCACACCTGGCGTCGCCTTCTACGACCCCTCTTCGTGCCGTTCCTGGCTTCATTCTCAAATGGCCCGAGGGTCCCGCCACAAGGGTTAAGTCGGGCCTGTCCCTCTAAAGGAGGATTTTGGGCGAAAAATCAGAAACAGTCAGAAAATACCTCCAAATAATCAAAAAATCAAACAATAGTCCCTAGACTATTTTTTAAACTATTGTTGAATAGTCCTCCTGCAGAGGGACACGCCCGACTTAACACAAGGGGCGAACGAGGGTCCAAGGTTAGAACCTCCTGGGGCGGGGCCGCGTTGGCAGGGGATTCGGGACTGGGAGCGGGAGCAGGACTCCCGTCGGGCACAGAGGCAGCCGCTGTCGACGTAGTCGCGGAAGCCGATGTCGTGTAGGATGTCCCACCGGCTGATTCACGCGAGGACAGGCCGCCGTTGGCGGCTGGACAGACGTGTTCTTCACCGCACGGGTTGCGTGCGGCTTGCCCGCGTGGCAGACACTGGATTCTTCGTCGTGTTCGTGCGCTTTCAGCTTGTCCTTCATGTGCTGGTGGTACTTGGCTGCGTCGCTATTGTTGCCCTTGCACCTCCTTCGCGGTGGCGTCCCTGGCGATGTTTGCACAGCGCAGGCTACGCTTCATGTCATCGGGCCCGTGGGCGCTGCCCAGCAGCAGGGCAATTCCACAGCCAAGACGAGCGTCAAAAGCAACTCCCCGCAAGGCCCGCTGCTCCCCGATGTTCAAGCAAGGACGTGCTCTTCGAGCATGGGCCGCGCCAGGGCCCAGCCGTTCCCGTCAGCGACCTCCTGCGATGCTTCGCTTGCGAAAGCAGAGGCAGCAGTAGCAAAGAGTCCAAGCGTGCCCGACTGAAGCAGCAACTGTGCGACAGGCACCCTTTCGGGGCGCTGCGTCGCTGAGGTGGGCAGCGCGAGCGCAGGGGACCACTCTTCCGAACGGCAACACGCCCGCGCCGACCCCTTGCCAGCCGCCGAGGCCATGCTTGTGGAGGACAATTCATGGAGAGGAGGCAGGTTGCCAAATAACTGCCAGGTGTCTAAAAAAACGTGTGGGAACATGGCTGAAAGCGTGTAAGACCATGTCCTACACAGTTTTGGAACACTTCTCGCACGTGTCAAACACGTTTTTGGTCCAATGATCGGATTGTTGGGGTGGCCATTGCCACGGCATCCACAAGGCCATGCAGAAGGCCTGGGCCATCGCCCGTCCTGGCTCTGGACAGGCGCCCATCCTGATCCTCCTCCTCCTCCTCCTTCTCGTCCTCCTCCTCCTCGTCCTCGTTCTCCTCCTTCTCTTCTTCTTCCTCCTCCTCCTCCTCCTCCTCCTCCTCCTCCCCCTCCTCCTCCTCCTCCTCCTCCTCCTCTGTGCTGCTGCGCGGGCGCCCCCCGCCCACCGCACCATGCCCCTGCTCTCGTTGGACTCGCCCCCCCCCCCCCCCATCCCCACCCCTCAGGAAGATCATCGTCGGGTTGGGAGGACGGGGCTGGAGGGGCATGGGGCGCGGGCGCCCCCCGCCCACCGCACCATGCCCCTGCTCTCGTTGGACTCGCCCCCTCCCCCATCCCCACCCCTCAGGGAGATCATCGTCGGGTTGGGAGGACGGGGCTGGGGGGGCATCAGGATTTCCTTGCCCGTAGGCGGCCGAAGGTATCGTTCCTTGCATCTGGATGCGACTGCTCCTACCCTTTCATCCTACCAGCCCCTTCCTCCCAACATCCCAACACGATAGCTGTTCTGTTCTCCTCGGCGCGATGAATGACCGTCCGGCGTCTCACGCTGAGCAATGCCAGCCCGGAGCCCACGCTCGTTCCCGGCAGGGGGCGCATTGGCAGTCTTGCGGCCGCCGTTGTGGGCCTCTTCTGGTTGATCGTTACATCACCAGAGACAAAAGTATCACTACCACCAGCTAGGGGGGTGGCTGTCCCACCCTCTCGAGCTGGTGGCACCTCGTTCCGGGCATGCCTCCAGAGAGTGCCCAGAAGGAGGTGCCACGAGTTCGAGTGGAGGGAGCGGCCACCCCCCTAGCTGGTGGTAGTGTTATTTCTCGCCTGACATGCACGGTGGCTGTCGGAACAACAGACAGCATGCTTCTCCTCGTCCCCCCCTGCCAGCAGCGGCCAGTCGGCCTGGCCGCTGGGCATCCAGCCCGTCCCGAGGAGGCGGCGCTCGACCCGGCGCTCGACGCCGGCTCCGCCGACGGAGCGCGGCGCGCCTGGGCCCCGCTCGACGAGGCGACCGCCCGCGGCCGGCGGCGGGCGCGACGGCACTGTTGCTTCCCGCCCTCCTCCGCGCCCCCACTCGGGGGCGAGGGGGCGGCCGCAGAAGGCGGAGGCAGGCCTCCTCCTCCTCCTCCTCCCCCTCCTCCTCTTCCTCCTCCTCCTCCTCCTCCTCCTCCTCCTCCTCCTCCTCCTCCCCTCTTCCTCGTCCTCCTCGTCCTCCTCCTCCTTCTCCTCCTCCTCCTCCTCCTCCTCCTCCTCCTCCTCCTCCCCCTCCTTTTCCCCCACCTCCTCCTCCGCCGCCTCCTCCGATCCTCTCCTCCTCCTCCTCCTCCTCCTCTTCTTCCTCCTCCTCCTCTTCCTCCTTTTCTTCCTCATCTTTCTCCTCCTCCTCCTCCTCCTCCTCCTCCCCCTCCTCCTCATCCTCCCCCGCTCCAAAGTGAGGACGGGAGGAGGCGGCGCCGAGGAACATGCAGTCGCGGCGGGCGCTTCTGCATGCAGAGGGCCTCACGGACCGATCTGGCCTGAGGAGATCCCACAGAAAGGTGGCGTCAATAGCTATCGAGGTAGTTTGTGTCACGACGGTGGATGTTGGGGCAGTCGTTGTCGTCCTTCTCTTCTTCACTGTACTCCTTTCTCACTGTCTTTCTTTCTCCCCCTGGAGCCTTAGTCGCAATCGCACAGCCGCGCACGAAATACTCGTGGCTGGTCCAGAGCCTGGGCGGCTTCGTCCACGGCGGTGGTCTCTGCGAAGACGGATGACAAGTCAAGCCCTAGCTTAGATTCTGGGTGCCGGGCCCGAACATCGCCTTATTTTGGCTCTTTAGTGACGCAGGATCTGTGTCCGCACCCCGACAATGCAGCTCCAATGGAGGCCCGGTCAGCCTTCCCCCTCACCCTCCATCTTTTCCCCTAATGGTTATTATTTGCGCCGCCAGACGCGTCGGCAGGGCAGGCTGGGCGAATCACCTGAGGTTTCCTCCTCACGACGTCTTACTCTTGAGCTTGGCATCTCCAAAAGCTACAGATGGAGGGCAGGCCGTTTTCACCGTGCGTTTCTCGTTTGAGCGCTGCGCATGCTTGTCTTAAACATTTCAAATCCTACATGGGCGGAGGGGGGGAGTCGGTTTTGCGTCGCGCTTATGCGTCTCAAGCGCTTTGGTATCAACTACACGAGTGGAGGGCGGGCCCTCAATATGTACATGTGCCTATATTCACAGATCGCCTGAGGTTTCTTCAGACATTGAGCCCTTAAGGTTACATTTATGCATTCGTCACACGGGCAAGTTTCTGCTATGTTTGCATAGTGGGGTTCGACATAGTTTTTGTCAGAGCGCGCTGCTGGGCCACACGGGCGAGTTACAGTCCCGTTTTCAGCATGACTTTCAAATCGGATCACCAGCGAGCACTACCAAGAGTTCCACTACAAGGGCTTGCGCCATCCCGTCGGCCCCCGACAGGTGAACGCGGCTCTTGTATCTTGGATTGGACGGTTTTTGCCCGAGTGCGGTGGCAAGAGTCCGAGGGAGAGCGATGCTGTGCCCAGGGAGATCCTGGAGGCGGGTGCGGGGGGCACAGCGCCCCCTGCGTCTACCGGGTTGTAAGATGGCACGCACAAGGTGTAGCATAACGAACATTCTAATGGCATCGATGCTGATTGCTTTCCATCGCAAGGACAATTTGTTATGCTCCCTGTTAGTGGGGAGATGTTCGTGAGCACGCCTCTGGTAATGATCTCGCAGCACGGATCCATGCAGCAAGGAGACCTCAGCAAGGCGGGCGCCTGTAATAAGGATTCCCGCAGAATGTTTCTGTAGTGCACAGTCATTATTGTAGTAATGGACGCCTTGTCAATGATGCCTGTATTACGGGTCCCTTTGTCAGGATGTTTTTAGTAAGGTATCTTCAGTAAGGTATCCGTTTTCAGTCTTCTGTCTTGTTTCTGAGGAGATTATCCGGAGGGGGGCTACAAAGTCAGAGTGAGGGGGCTACAGAGTCATTCAGGGCGCGTGGCTGAATAGAGAATTTGTGGTGAAGGTTCTGCTCGTTGCGCTGTTGTTGTTTGTTGTCGTCGTCCCACCCCGCGACCCACCTGCGACCCAACCCGCGACCCACCCCGCGACCCACCTCGCGACCCCATCCGCGACCCACCCCGCGACCCACCCGCGACCCACCCTGCGACCCACCCGCGATCCACCCTGCGACCCACCCGCGATCCACCCGCGACCCATCCCGCGACCCACCCCGCGACCCACCCCGCGATCCACCCCGCGACCCCACCCGCGACCCACCCGCGACCCATCTGCGACTCACCCGCGACCCACCCCGCGACCCACCCGCGACCCACCCCGCGAACTACCCGCAAAGGAGGAGAAACCACCCATACCCGACAATTGACGTTTACTAAACGGCCCTTTTGCGTTTACTAAACAACCCTGCCCTGTTCGATTCATTCTTTGTGTGCGTTTACTACACGGCTTTGCTTGTCGGGGTGATTATTGTGGAATGGATTTTCTACCCTCTACACCCTCGACCCACCCGCGACCCAACAGCGACCCACCCGCGACCCATTTGCGACACACCCGCGACCCACCCTCGACCTACCCACGTTGGTTTAGCGAAGCAATCGGCGTGGTGTCCATCGCTTACCGCGCAGTCAGCAGTTTGTTAGCGAAGTGCTGCCGCAGTGCTGCGAATCGCGAGGCCGAGAGTTACTCATGCGTTAGGGTTGTTCGATCGCCCGCACAACAACATATATGAGCATATACATGTAGACAGAGGGAGATGTCTCTTACACCCCAAGTTCGGCAAACAAATGGGACGCAGTTAGGGGTGTTGGGAGGTATGTGTGGAGAGTTTCCCCTGGTTGAGCAATTGTTTGGATTATCGGGGGGTTCCTGGTAAGTTGTGCTAGATGTGGCCCTGCTTAAACGGTGCAATGAGATGGGGATGGTGTGGATGCGAATGCGGTCGATTGTGGGATGAAAAGGGGGAGAAAATGATCATTACCACCATAGCTGGTGTCATGGAGGTGGCTGGCGGTGTGAATGGCCCTCGGATAACCAGCCCTGGTACCCCCACTCACTCACACACATGCACTCACTCGTGCCATGCGCCCAGGGCGCGCGGGGGAAAGGTGGCAGGGCCTGTGTGATCCCACCGCTCTGCGGAAAAGGCGGCGCGCCCGCAGGCACGCGCCTCATTTCCACCGTGCGTGGCAGGAGGAGCGGGTGCAGGGAGGGGGGCGACAACGAGGCAGCTGCAAGCTTTCGCCGGGCCGCGGGGCCGCGCACCCTTTGCAGCGCGGCCCCCGCGGATCGGAGGGAGGAGAGGCGACGCCAACACCGCCAGGGGGCCCACCTCCGGCGAGGAGGTCCACGATGCCTCCCCGAGCAGGAGGCGGGGGATGTCTCGAGCGAGAGGGGGGGGCCACATCACCAGGGAGACCCCCCGTGCCTCCGCGCATCTCCTCGCCCTGTTGGTGTTGGTGTCGCCTTTCCTTGTTCCTAGTTGGAGGTGAGGCGTGGGCAGATCGTGCTCAGTAGGCATTTCGGCCCATTCATGCCTCGGCCGCCCTGTAGCCCAGGCGCAGGCGTCCGTAGCTGGTCGCAGGCCTCCGCGCTGAAGTGCAGGCCGCCTCCGTGAGGCCGAACTGCTTGGCCCACCTCTTGTCCTCAACCGCAGAATATGGCGTTTCAAGAGCTGCGTTGTGTGCAAATCTTGCTCTGCTCGCGCCAACACTTCCCTGCCACAGGTTCTGGAAACAGACGCAGATGCGACATGCAAGCTGCTGCGGGGACACCTGGCTTAAGTAGTACCGCGCCTTGCCCGTAACCAACGACTGGACAACTTGAAGCTTGTTTTTGTGTGTTTCCATGTGAGGCCGCGTCTGCAAGAATCGCCAAGCGCTGCCCTCAGTGGTTCATTCAATTCTCCACACAGCCGGGCTGAACTCGAATGTCATGCTCCAGGATACAGCATTGAATATTTTGTTGGGATTGGCTCCCCGTACGGCGTGGTAAGGTTCATGTTGTAGTGTACAGACATGAACTGGAATTTACCTTGATAGAAAGCCATGCCGACCCGTGCGCCCGCATCTGTCATTCCTCCCAAGGGCGATTGATTATGAAGCTGATCCCGCCCAACGAGCAGCATGTCGTCAGCGTGCAACAATACAGCCAACGCTTCTGCTCGCAACGCCGCCTCGTAATCTGGCATCTGCTCCGCACTCGGCGTCGCGTATGACCCCGGTCGTTACCATAATGAGCAAGAACGGAGAATGCGGACAACCTTGAGATGTTCCAGATATGTGCCTTCTTTATGTAGCCGTGTGTTTGCCGTATGCCGCTTTGATTTCCCTGCCGCTATTTACGTTGCCAATGACTGTGAGGATGCAGCGTGGCACTCCAGATTTGCGTAGCGTTTCAAGCGCAGCATTGACGTTGAGCCTCCATGTGCTTTCTTCCAAGCAAGTGCAAGAAATTCGATGTCTCCTTTTTTGTCCCCGAAGGCCAAGTCGATGTACTTGCGAACGGCGTAGTGAATGGGGTCTGAAGTCCCGTACTATCCTCTACGAAATCTTGATTGCGTTGGTGACAATCGATCCTTTGCTCCACCGTCTCGCAATCACTTCAAAATAAGTGCGACCATTCATCTATAAGCAGCACTTAACAAGCTGACTGGCTGGTAATTGTCGCAATTGTCGAGGGCTCCCTTGCTCTGGTAAGCTGTGAGTCTGGTTTAGTGCTTCCAGTCTTCGGGCACCGTCTATGTCTTCTAACACTTGTTGCCGAGATCCGTGATCCAATCGAGGCCACCAGAATTTGTAGAACCGGCCTTCCAGTATTCCACTGGCATGCCGTCAACTCCACGTGCCTTGCCGCGCTTCAGTGTCCTTAGGATGTTCTTCAGTTCTTCTCTGGTGAACTTTGATTCTAATGTTCGCAACGTGTCTCCAATAGGGGCGTAGTCGTCCACCAGCTTTGCTGCACGTCTTCTCCACGGTACTTGTTCCAAGGAGTCGGCCATGGTATCGGCTCAGTGCGTGTTGTCGGCCAATTCCCCACTCATGTGTTTAAGCCGTCCTCGGTTGAGCGCTCCCCCCCTCCTCCCCTCGCGCGGCCGCCAAAGTAGAAAATGTAGCCAGTGTTTACCATACATCCTACTTTGACGCTTTCCATTTGGATGCTTTTTTTTTGCTCCGCGTTTTGTCCTCTGAGCTGCTCGATCAATAATTTCGTCGCATTCCTGGTGATTTTGCAAATCATCCCAAGCTTTCCTTCAAATGTCCTCCCACACCTTTTTCCATCGCCATGGTTTGCACATGTGCAATGAAGCCAGTCCCTCAACGTTCTAATGTGTATGCTTTTTTTTTTCTGAGATCCTGATCGTCTAGAGTATATGCAAGTCTTATTCAAGTAGTTACTGAAGCATGTGACAGTAATTTCAGGCAGCACGGTCGGCTGGTTCTCTTTGTTGAGCAGCCCAGATAAGGTTACTCTCACGTTTGAGGCCACCGCTGCCTAGAAGAGCCACCGCCGTATCTCATGAGTCAGACCTTGGGGTATCAGTTTCCAGAAATGGCAATTGTTGCTCAACCTTCTCGATGCGCTTGGTCATTGCGTTCTCCACGTTAACCGCCCTTATGTGTGCTTCCTCGAGCTCGTCGCCGCTTTCGTCGACGTTCGTTTGCAATGGCGGAGTGACCTCTTCAAGATCTCCGCGGGATACCCTGTAGACTTCGTTTGCGGCTATATCTTGCTTAATACAGGCGAGCTCGTCAGTGATGATATTCCAGGTGTCGTCGATGGTCGCAGCAGCGCTTCCCGAAGAAGATCCTGAGGCCTTCGTGTGGTCAATACCGCTACCCTGGGCGCCGGCCGGTTGTTACTGAAATCATTGTTGTAGTGCACTGGCGAGCTCGGAGTCGCCGAGCCCGCCCATCTCCTGCAAGTGGACTGTGGATCCGGTGCTGCTTGAACAAGTGCAGAAGTGGTGTGCCTGGCGCGCGTTTGTCGAGAGCAGCCTCCGTAGACGAAGACCTCAGGGTGGTATCCAGGTGGCATGCTGGGATGTTTGGATTGACGGGGGAAGTCTTGAGCCACGACTTAGCTCTAGAGACACTACGGTCACTTGAGCCTTGGTGCTGAATTCCCTTATTGGCAATGCCAGGCGGGAGCAACGAGTGAGCCCGCGAAGCTTCCTCTTTCCGAGCTGTCTGTGCAAGGACGGGTGTTGGTGTACGCGCTCCCTTCCCCCCCCTCCCCCAGCGGGAGGACGACGAGGAGAGGGCGGGAGGAGAGGGCGGAGGAGGAGAGAGTCAGGTCTGAGGGAAGGAGGCAGGAAGGAGGAGAAGGAGGAGGAGGAGCGGTGCGGATTGTTTTGCATTGTTCGTTCTTGAGCTCTCATTGGTGATCCCTCCCTCAGGTGCACCTCGTGTTTTTCAATCGAAGTGCCCCTCCCAGGACTCGCAACTGTTTTTTTTCCAGGGGAAGTCTTGGGCCTCAGATTGTGTTGTTGGCCCGGGTATGCCACAACAGCGGTTGCCGCCCGATAATTCCTCACAGTTTGTTCAGCATCGAGCTCTCGCGAGGGACTTCCCCACGGTTTGCCCAGGAGTCGGGCCCTCGCGTGGGACATCCTTGCAATGAGTTCAGACGCCGCGCCTTCGACACTCAGGAGTCACGTTCGTGCTCTGGACCTCCTCGCGACTTACTTGGGAATCGAGCCATCGCCCGGAACTTCCTCGCGCTTCAACAGGCACCGACGCCCCGCCCGACCCGACCCGCCCGCCTGGTTCTGCCTGCCTGCCTGCCCGGGACCCCCCTGCTGATCAGTTCTCTCGTGCTCCCTGCTTCTCCCTCCCCGTTGTCCTTTTCCTCCTCCCCTGATGGGCCTGCTCTCCACCACCACCACCACCATAAGTTGGAGGGGGGAAGGAGGAGGAGGACGAGGAGGAGGAGGACGAGGAGGAGAAGGAGGAGGACCCCCTCCCCCTCCAACCTATGGTGGTGGTGGTGGAAAACAGGCCCATCATCCCTCCCTCCCTCCCTCCCTTCCCCTGGTTCAGGGGCTGCGCCAACTGCACGTGGCAGGCAGGGAAGGCATGCCCCGAAGGGGGGCACAACTGAAGACGAAGAGGGCCGGTATCGAGGGCTCGGGAGATACATGTTGAGTGGCAAGCGAGCGTGCAAGAGCTAGCAATATTTAACTGATTGTTGTTGATGTCGTCGTCCTCCTCGACCCACACGCGACCACCCCGCGACCCACCCCACGATACACCCGCGACCACCCCGCGATCCACCCGCGACCCACCCCGCGCCCCGCCCCACACTCTTATCCGCAATTACCGGGTGCTATGTAATAGTATCAATATGTGTCCTGTTCCCCTTCATAAGCCCTTCAACAATATTGCCTATCCATCCGTCCCCGTCCTTCTCCTTCTCCTTGTCCCCGGTATCACCTTTCTCGCCCTCTTTTTTCTCCTGCCCCTCTCCATCCCCTTCCTCATCATGTTCGTCGTCGCCGTCATCCGAGTGAGGAGACCGAAGGGTAATTCCTTGTCCCTGGGCGCGTGGCTGAAGTAGTGTTCGCGGTGCGGATTGTTGTTGCGCTGTTGCGTTGAGTTCTGGTTTCCAGACAGTTTCTACTGTTGACCCTCCCCCTCTTCGGTGCACCTTGTGTTTTATGTTGAAGTGCCCTTCCCGGGGCTCGCACCTGCTTTTCTTACCAGGGGAAGTCTTGAGCCTCAGATTGCGCACCAAGCCCTCGGTTTACAGCAACACCTGCTCCCGCCCGACATTTCCTCACAATCTATTCCAAAGCGCGCTCTCGCGCGGGAGTTCCTTCAAACATTATCCAGGCATCGGTCTCTCGCGTGGGGCACCCTCTCACTCAGACGCCGCGCTCTTGACACTCAGGAATCACGCTCTCGCTCTGGATTTTCCCGTGATGTACTTGGGAACCATGCTGTCGCTCGAGACGCCCCCGCGACCCATGCAGGACTGGTGCTTCCACGACCCGCCCGCTCGACCCGGCCGCCTGGGCTAGCCCTGCCGACTTGCCCATCAGGGTCTGCCGCCCGACCCGCCCGTCTGGTTCTGCCGTTCGTGTTCCTGCTCCGAGCACCGCCCCTGATAAGTTCTCTCGTGCTGCATCCCTCGCCTTCCCCGTTGCCCATGACTTTCTCCCACGCCTTCCCCTGGTTCAGGGGCTGCGCCAACTACATGTGGCAGGCAAGGGAGATATACCCCCAAGAGGGGTACGATTGAAGACGAAGACGGCGGGCATCGAGGGTTCGGGGCAACGCGCGACCAGATACGAGCGAACAGTCTTAACATTATTGTTGTTGTCGTCGTCGCCCTCCTCCTTCCCGCGACCCACCCGCGACCCACCCGCGACTCACCCCGCGCCCGCCCCCCTACTCGTGTTTGTAAGTCCTGGTTGGTGGCCATTCTCGTCCTCCGCCCCATCCTCCTCCGCTTGTGGACCGTCGCCATGTCGGATCAAGAGCATGATCTTGCTTACTAAATTGGCCGTTTGGAATTCAGCAATGCCAGCGCAAGGCATTGCCGTGTTTGTAGTTCAAGCTGTCCGTGGATGCAAGACGTTCAGCTTGTGTCTCGGCAAGGTGTTTCACTGCAAACGGCAATTAAGAGTTGTGGAAGGACAAAGCAATGGAGCGAAGCGCTGAAATTGTTTCGCGAAGCGTCACAAGCACGTTTGAGTATCTTCCCAGGCCACTACACAGCGATTGTCAGCGCATGCGGGAAGGGCAGGCAGTGGCAGCAAGCTTTATCGCTTCTCAGCGAAATGCGGTCGGCGAATGTGGAGCCCACTGTCTTAGCCTGATAATGGCCTTGCGAGCGAGAAATTCAAGAATACAGCTAGGGCGCGCTCCGGGTGCCTCTGGCACGCCGCTGCAGCCCTTGGGCAGCTTAATGCTAGCCTAAGATCAGCCCGTAGGTTCCATATGGCCCCCGTGCGCTCCGAGACGGCTCGAGGGCATCTCCACCCTCAGACGAAACCACGACCCGCCAAGATGGGTCCCAGACTCCGACTGCCCCCGGGCATGCCCCCAGCTCCACACGAGGTTTCTACTAGGCCCCAGTCCCAGCAAGGGTCCAAAGAGACCTTGAGAAGCGAAAACCGGTGAAGGACCTCACGTATCACTTTGGCATTGCTGCTAAAAGCGGCCCAAAGCGGGCCCATGACGACTGCCAAACCAAACCAAGGCCGGTCGATCCCGCTCCCAGATTGGCCCCAGGCAGAACCTGTAGAGCGCAACGAATAGCGCAACATGTGAAATGTGGACAGACCTGGGAAGTCGCGATGTGGTACCACTCAGGGTACCTGATGTAATTATGCCGTTTCCTTTGTGTCGCAATTCGTCGAGCGACTCATAGACTGTAGACAGACGCGGGGAATTGCGATTTGGAAGGCCGCGACGTGTCTGGCGCTATCTATGGCGCGACCTATGTCATGCAAGTATACCAGGAGACCAGTATTTTGTAGCATACCAGTTCAGCGTATGACATATACACAGATTCGTGGAATCGCGAGTTGGTTCCTTGCGGTGTTTTTGGCGCAGCCACTGGCGTCATGTTATTAGGAGACACCCCCACTCGAGCATCGGACGAGTTGGTGTGTTGCGGGGTTTGGCGCAAGCTATGGCGCAATGGCCCTAAACAGAACATGTCGCACGTTTGTTCACCATCTCAGAGAATCTCAGAGCGGCACCCTTGCGGGGAACACAAACGATTTGGTTGCCCGTGGGGGATCTGACGCAACTTCTAACGCAGCCGAATTCAGACCCATTGGATCGGATCACCACACGGTTTTGTTGCCCATGGGGTGTCCGACGATGTGGCTGCCTGCGGGGCAGCGCAACATGTGGCGCAACCGATTTCAAATGTTGTTTAAGATTTGGGGGTACGAAATTCCCTGAACGTGTCTGGATCGGTCAGCCCTCATCAGCTACGGTGCTGGGGTCAGCGCGTGCGACAGAGGCAATCAGTGGCAGCGGGCGCTGGTGCTGCTGAGCGAGATGCGGGAGGCGGGCTTGGAAGCCGACGGCATCACCTGCAGCGCTGGGATCAGCGCGTGCGCGAACGGCGAGCAGTGGCAGCCGGCGCTGGTGCTGCTGAGCGCTATGCAGGACGCGAAGATGGAGCCCGATACCATAAACGCTGCCATGGCGGGAGCAGCGCCTACAAGGTGCATGGTGGTTGCAGGGCACGGGGGCGAGGGGGGGGGGGGGGGCACGAGGCGCGGCCGCGCAGGCGCGCTGGCGCGCAGACGCGCCCGCCCCCGGGCGCGCGTGTGTGCCGGCCCACCTCAGCAGTGTTCGGATCATGCCCTTGGGTTCCGAGGAACCGTATCGAGACAATGAGAGCAACATTTGCAAACATGGCACATGGTTTGGCCAAAATTTGTGAGCCACAACCCTGAACAAGTCCCCTCAGGCACTTGGGACCTGAAGCTGGCTCCCAGAATCCTCCCATCATCGGCCCAAAAGAGACCTAGAACGCCACCAGCTACCTCCAAGAGGCTCCAACAGGGCCCAACGACGCCCCAAGACGGCCCAGGATGACCGAACAGGTCCCAGACACATGCCAAAACCACGTACACCCCAGCAGCAAAAGAGCCAGCAAGAGCAGCCAGCAGCTGCAAGCAGCAAGCAGCAAAGCAGAGTCACCAAGCAGCAGTATCAGTAGGGATACCAACAGCAGGCAACAACAGCAAGCATCACCACGTGCTCAACTGCTACGGCCAGTTTCAAGGCTGTCCAAGTGGCCCAGTAGCACGCTGCACCATTACAGTGGCCCCAGGACACCCTGACCCAGTCACGCACTGTTCAAAACAAATGCCACAAGGAGTCCCGACAGGCTCGAAGTGCTATCACTTGTCTGAGCCATGATGAATCATCAAGTTGCCTGCGGATTTTCCTACGTTCGCGCGCGAGTCTGCTACAGTTCTGTCATCAGCGCGTGCGACATGGGCGAGCAGTGGCAGCGGGCCTTGGCGCTTTTGAACGAGATGCGGGAATCGAAGGTAAATCAGGACGCTTTCAGCTACAACTCCGGAATCAGCGCATGCGGGAAAGGCGAGCAGTGGCAGCGGGCCATGTCGCTGCTGAGCGAGATGCGGGAGGCCAGGATAAAGCCCGTTGTCTGCAGCTACATTGCTGGGACCGTCGCCTGCGAGAAGGCGGAACAATGGGAGGGTGCTCTGTCGCTGCTCAGCGAGATGCTGGATTGTAAGGTGGAGCCCGACATCATCTGCTACAGCGCTGGGATCAGCGCATGCGGGAAAAACGGGCAGTGGGAGCCGGCGATGTGGTTGTTGAGCGAGATGCGGGAGGCGAAGGTTGGGCCCAATGTAATATGTACTGCAAGTCTCGGCGTCGCCGAAACGGCCCCGGAACCCCTCCAGATTTCGGCACACCCCTCACACGGATCGTGCCCCACAGGTAGTTCCACCTACGGCACCAGTGGGTGAGCTCGTATGTCCCCCCCCCTTCTGCACATGCTTCACGTGGATCTTGCCTCATAGGGAGCTCCACCTGCGGCCCCAGTGGGGTTCTTGCATGCGCTCCCCCGACAATTTTGTGACATCCCTAACGCGGATCGTACGCCTACGAAGCTCTATGGTCCCAGCGGGGGAGCCCGAATGTGTCCACACGCATTCAGGCATGTACACGTCACGCGGATCGTGCTCCCTGGGACAGCTCCGCATGCCGCCCAGGCCGGGGGAGGGGGGAGGGTCGCATGGCGCCCCTCCCCCGCCATCTGGGCACGCCCGGCGGGCGCATGCTTCCGCATGATGTCGAGCTCCACCTTCCGCGGCGGTGGGGGGAGCTCGCAGGTGCCGCCCCCGCTCCCTGCAGGACGTGTCTCGCCCACGTCGTGCTCCGCGGCAGCCTCCCCCCCTGCGGCCCACGGTCTCGGGGGGAGGGCCTCGCGCGCGCCCCCGCCCGCCCCTCGCGGCCACGCCCCTCGCGCGGCGGGGGGCCAGAGGCGTGCGCCGCCGACGGCCCCGTTGCGGGAGCTCGCCTGTGCACCAGCTGGCCGCCCCTCGCGCCTCCCTGCACCAGCTGGACCCCACAAGCAACAAGAACACATGTCCTTCTGTCATATGTTCGAATGATTTTAAAATACCCGCTCTCTCGGGCTTCAGAACGCGCGTGACGACCCGAGAGGCTTTCTGAGATGACCCACAGATGGCCCAAGAGGCCCCCCAAGTGGGGGTCTAATCGGCCTAGCCCAAGGGGCCTCCAAGGCCACGACGGCCCAAGAGAGCCCCAAGGCGGCTCAGGGTGCCTCCATGACCACGACGGTCCAAGAGGCCCCGGGAGAGCCCGAAGACGGCCGAGCACGACCGCGAGACCGAACGCCATAAGGCCCGAGAAGCCCCAACCAAGGCTCCACGCTGGCCCCAAGAGGGCCCCATGAACGACACAAGAAGAGCACGTGACTCGGCCACGCGCGTCGAGGCCGCTGGGAGATTCGCATGCTGGCCGTTCCCCGCGCCTCCCCCCTCGCTTCCTCGCTCCGTGCTCCTCGCTCCGTGCTCCTCGCTCCTCGCTCCTCGCTCCCTGCCCGCTTCTCTCCTCGATCCTCCCTGCTGGCCCCCCCCGCGCCTTCCCTCTTGGCCACCGCGTGCGCGCCGCGCCTCGGCCGTCCCTCGGCCCGCCCCTGCCTACGCTGCTGGCGCACTGCTCCGCGCTCTCCTCGCCCGCCTCTCCTTGCTCGCTACTCCTCCCCCCCGCTCCTCTGCCCTCCTCGCTCCCCCTCTCCGGGCTCCCCGCTCTTCCCCCCCCCCGGGACCGCTCGCGCACCTGGGGGGCCACAGGCGAACCCTACCCCCCTACCCCACACGGTGTCTGAGGGGGAGGGTGGGGTTCACTTCGCTCGGGAGCTCCCGAGCTGAGAGAACCCCACCCTCCCCCTGAGAAATCGGAGGGGGGGTAGAGGCAGGGTTCGCATGTGGCCCCCCAGCACCTCCCCTCCTCGCCTCCTCCCCCCTCGGTTCCAGCGTCTATCTCTCTCTTTGGCAGCCGGTCCTTCCCGGTCGCTCCTCTCCCGAGCAGCCGGCTGCCTCGGCAAGCGGAGGTGGCGAGACGCAGCGGCCCGCAGCGTCGAGCAGCATCAGCGACCAGCACAGGGCTAATTCCGACTCCTCCGATTCGATTCGCTTCGATTCCGATGGCTTCCGATTTTGATTCGATTCGACGTGGGAGTCCTATGTGGGCCCCGATTCCTCGTTGGAGGCACACTGGCCTGCCGGTGTCCGCCGATCCAACTCCTCCGGACTCGGCGGCCAACTTCCGCCGATCCGATCCATTGCGATCGCCGATCCGACTTATCTTACCAGCCTCGAACTTATCCCTATCCCTAAGATTGACACGCCAAAAAGCGATGACAATCTTAGGGATGCGCCCTCAAAAAATAAGGGAATCCCTAAGATTGGCATCGTGATGAGGAGATGCCCAACATGGGGATAGCGTAATATGGGCCCTCCTGGAAGCAGCGGCCCGCAGCGCCGAGCAGCCTCGGCGGCCAGCAGCACGCGGCACGGAGCGGGCGGCGCTGCCGCGGCAGCACAAAGAGGGCAGCGGCAGCACAAGATGGCAGCAGCAAGCAGCAAGCATACCCGTCGGCCGTTGAATGTAGGTGAAGTCGGGCCTGTCCCTCTACAGGAGGAAGATGCAAACATAGTCAAACAACAGTCTGGGGACGATTTTTGATTATTATCACTGAATGTGTCTGATAATTCCCTGCGTATTTGTGTGCCCGTCCAAGATCCGCTTGTAGGGGGACACGCCCGACCTAAGAGCAGGTATTTCTAAGAGGATCTCGTGGCTTCACTTTTTCCGTCCCCCTTGGGTGTCGGACGGAAGCCAATCTACTTTCAGCGCCTTGTTGCTTCATGTTTCTACCTACTTCTTCCGACTGGTGGGTACTTGACCCCACCCAGGAGCCTGCAGCCACACGCTGCAACCGCACGCTGCAGCTGGAAGCATCACCGACAGCACGCAACAGCGGAAGTGATCAGCAGGACTCAGCAGCAGGCGTGGATTGCGAAGTTTGTTCCCCACGATTTCAGTTCAGTTTGTCGGGGGCAACGTGGCCATCCCATTCCAATTCAGTTATTGAACGTAGTCCACGGGTAAGCTGTAGTTTCTTCTATAATCCAGCAGCGTCAGCTACAACGCTGGGATCAGCGCGTGCGAAAACGGCGATCAGTGGCAGCTGGCTCTGTCGCTGATGAGCGAGATGTGGGAGGATAGATTGGAGCCCAATGTGATATTTACAAGAACTGCCGAGCTCAACGCGCGCGAGCGCACCCAGTCGCTCCAGCATCCCTAGACGGCGTCCAATGGAGTAAGATTGTTTCGACGCAGCGTCAGATGGCTCAACGACGGCTCAATGATCCCTCCCCCGATTGCCCGAAGACCCGCCAAGATGATTCTCAGCCTGCTGTCAGCCCCAACATTGGCCCAACATGTATTTGACATCTCCCACAGGCTTTCAATTGGCCCCCAAGAGGTTTCCAACATGTCACCTGAATGAACACGACATACGGAATGAGTTTTATGAAACCCCCCTTTGGATGATAGGGAGCATGTTCTTCGTGAGGAGGGCGGGGATTGGGACACTCAGTGTTTCACGATGGATGCGCGTCGGACTGGAACACGATTGACTTCACTGCGCACCTAGTCATCGATTCTACGCGTAAGTATACGTACTCGGTTACGCGTCTCTCGACCTACGCCGCCTCAACGGCAAGCGCTCCAGCAGGCAATTCGCCTCATGCTTGCACACGGTCAAGCCTCCGTGATCTGTATACCAGTGCCGGTCTAGTCTTCAGTGCCAGCCCCAGTCAGCTACAGCGCTGGAATCAGCGCGTGCGAGAAAGGCAACCAGTGGCAGCGGGCCTTGTCGCTGCTCCGCGAGATACGCGAGGCGAGGCTGGAGCCGAACGCGATCAGCTACAGCGTGGGGATCAGCGCGTGCGAGAAGTGCCGTCAGTGGCAGCAGGCTCTGTCACTGCTCCGAGAGATGTGGGGGGCCAACTTGGGGCCCGACCCCATCAGCTGTAACGCTGGGATCAGCGCGTGCGACAGAGGCGGTCAATGGCAGCAGGCTTGTCTGCTCATCGGCGAGATGCGGCAGGCGAGGATGGCGCCAGACGTCATCAGCTATAGCGCTGGGATCAGCGCGTGCGCAAGGGGTGGACAGTGGCAGCAGGCTCTGTCACTGCTCAGTGAGATGCGGCAGGCGAAGGTGGAGCCAAACGTCACAAACACTCGTCTCTACAATGCTGCGACCTGTGCGTGCTGGAAATGCCACTTATTGAAGGGCTTTCCCGCCTGTTGGACGGCAGCATAGGCGCTTCCCCCTCTCTACCCGCAGTACCTCTCGCTCTCGCCTTCAGTACCTCTCGCTCTCGCCTTCTCCTCCTCCTCCTCCTCCTCCTCCTCCTCCTCCTCCTCCTCCTCCTCCTCCTCCTCCTCCTCCCTCCTCCTCCTCCTCCTCCTCCTCCTCCTCCTCCTCCTCTCTCCTTCCTCCTTCTCCTCCTCTCTCCTTCCTCCTCCTCGTCCATTTCTTTTCCGTATGAATAACTTCTCCCTGTCGCACCCCGAGGCCAGTTTTTAGGGCGGGCCGGGCGTTTCGCCTGAGACGTCCTCACCGCTTATGACCCTGAAGCTTCAAAATTGACAACAGTTTCACGTATTGCGGGCGGGCCGTTTTCAAAATGTGGCTCTCGCTCCAGCGCCGCGAACATTCGTTTTGAACAAGTCCCAGAGTTTCACGGACTGAGGGCGGGTCGTTTTCTCAACATGTGGCTCTCGCCTCAGCGCCGCGCACATTCGTTTTAAACATTGAGCGAGTTTCACGTGGTGAGGGCGGGTCGTTTTCTGTGGCTCTCGCCTCAGCGCCGCGCACATTCGTTTTAACAATTTGGAGGAGCCTCACGGTTTGTGGGCGGGTCCTGTTCAACATGTTGTTCTCGCCTTAGCGCCGCGTAAACTCGTTCTAATCATTTGGAAGAGTTCCACGAATTCCCATGATCAACAAACCAGAAATGTTACGCTGATTCGCGGTGCTGAAGTCCCAGGAATGATGTTCTGGCACGGTTCAAGATCGTCACGACGCACCAGTCTGGTTGATCCGTGGCGTTGGGATCCCGAGAACAATGCGTTGACATGCTCTAGGGTCTTTAGCCAGTTGTCTTCCAACGAGGCAGCTTCCCCTTTGGAAATGAAGCGTTGTAGGGGCCTATGAAGAGGGAGCTTGGAGGGAGGGATTATTCAAACATCGTTGATGACTCTTGGGCTTCCACTGGCCCTCCTCCTCCTCCTCCTCCTCGTCCTCCTCGTCGTCCTCCTCCTCCTCCTCCTCCTCCTCCTCCTCCTCTGACGCCTCTGACGCCTCTCCAGCCGAAGTTTCACGTGTGGGTGCTGTTCTGCGGATCTCTTCCGTGCAGGCGCATCGGCGCCCGCTCCGCCGCGCCCTCGCGGCGCCGCGCGCGCGGAGCCGAACCCGAGCCCGAGTCCGAAGGGCTTGCCGAGCCCCAGGGCGGGCCCCCGACCGCCCACGGGCACCCGGAAGGCCCCGCGGCTCGGCTCCCCCGGGCCTGGGCGACGGCCCACGACGCACCCACGAAGCGCCGGCTCGCGCCCGACCGGCCCCGCGGGAGGCCCCACGCGGCGTCGTTGACGGGCAGATGTCCCACCACCACTGCCGTAGGTCAGAGAGGGAGGAGGGGGAGGAGGAGGAGGAGGAGGAGGAGGAGGGGGAGGAGGAGGAGGAGGAGGAGGAGGAGGAGGAGGAGGAGGAGGAGGAGGAGGAGGGGAGGAGGGAGGAGGAGGAGGAGGAGGAGGAGGGAGAGGAGGAGGAGGAGGAGGAGGAGGAGGAGGAGGAGGAGGAGGAGGAGGAGGAGAGGAGGAGGAGAGGGAGGAGGGGGGAGGAGTAGGAGCAGGAGGAGGAGCAGGAGGAGGAGGAGGAGGAGGAGGAGGAGGAGGAGGAGGAGGAGGAGGAGGAGGAGGAGGAGGAGGGAGGAGGAGGAGGAGGAGGAGGAGGAGGAGGAGAGGAAGGAGGAGGAGGAGGAGGGGAGGAGGAGGAGGGAGGAGGAGGAAGGAGGAGGAGGAGGAGGAGGAGGAGGAGGAGAAGGAGGAGGAGGGGAGGAGGAGGAGGAGGAGGAGGAGGAGGAGGAGGAGGAGGAGGAGGGAGGAGGAGGAGGAGGAGGAGGAGGAGGAGGAGGGAGGAGGAGGGAGGAGGAGGAGGAGGAGGAGGAGGAGGAGGAGGAGGACCGCCATCCTCCTTTCACCCCCGTCCTACCTGCGGTAGGGGTGGTGGAACATTTGCCATCGGTCCTCCTGGCTTCGCCCAGCGCACCCCAGAGGCGAACTGCGCTGTACCTGTGGACGTCGCCACGTGTCAACATCTGTCTCTTCGGTTTTGTCCCCCAGGTGGCTCTGCGACCGTGAGTTCAAAGCTTCCGGGGTGACTAATAAGCCCGCGAGAACCTTTGGGAAAGGCTAAAAGCGTTCTCAAGATGGGCCACGTGGCCCTCAAGACGGCGCCCAGGGGGCCCCAAGACAGGCCAGGAGAGGGTTGAGTCGGGTTGGCCCAAGAGGGCCCTGATCACCGATGGGGCGTTCCGACGGCCCAGGGGGATCTCCGAGGGTCCCAGTGCGCGGCAGATCATCCCCAAAGGGGCCCGAGGCGCCACCCAACCATCCGAAGATCGCCTCAGCAGGGCCGCGAAAGACAGCAATCCGCAGCGGGCAGCACCACAAACAAAAACAGCAAGCAGCGGCACCCTGCGGCATCACGCAGCAACATCAGGCTGCGGCAGCACGCAGCAGCGAGTGGCACGCAGCAGCAAGCTGTATCAGCACGCGCCATGTCGCTGGCAGCCGCAACCACAAACAACAGGCTGCGTCGGCACGTAGAAGTAGCGATACTTCGCACCCTGCAGCAGCAGTACGCAGCGACCAGCCCGAAGCAGGCAGCAGCGGCAGCGACAGCACGCAGCAGCTGCAAGCACCTGCAGGCGGCAGGCAGCAGCAGCAGCAGCAGCAGCAGCAGCTTGCGGAAGAAATCAGCAAACACGCTCGGCAGTCAGCAGTGCCCTGCAGCCACGAGCAGCAGCAGGCGGCCGCTTCGAGCAGCAGCAGCAGCAGCAGCAGCAGCAGCAGCAGCAGCAGCAGCAGGCTCGCGCATCAGCCATCGGCAGCAGAAGCGCAGCATGGCCAGCACCAAGCCGCTGCACGTGGCTGCCCAACGCCGCATAAGCAGCAGTACGCACTAACAGCCACCAGTCCGTAGTGGCGAGGAGCAGCTACCAATATAGAGTAGCAGTAAACACCACCAATAATCAGCAGGGTGCGGGAGGCGGCAGCGAAGACGCGCAAGCAGTGCCGCAGCACACGTCAGGCGAGCATGTAGCAAGCCGTCATGCTACTCGGCGAGCAACTACGCGCGCAGGACAGCAGTCGTGCAGCCAAAACCGCAGGACGTTCTTATGCTCGCGTGCGAGTAGGCGCCCGTGGGCGGGCATCCACAGTTTAACCATAGTCAGTTATAACAAAGGGGCTGTCGCGTGCGGGAAGTGCGCACAGTGGCAGCAGGCTCTCTGGCTGCTCAGGGATATGAGTGATGCGCAGGTGACGCCAACCGTCATGAGCTACCACGCTGTGATGCTTGCATGCGAGGAATTTGGGCAGTGGCAGCTGGCCTTGATGCTTATCAGTGATATGCGGACGTCGCAGTGTGACCCAGACAGCAGATCTTACGCACATGTGACCGGTGCATGTAGGAAAGCCGGTCAGTGGCAGCAGGCTCTTTCGCAGATCAGCGAGATGCGGCAGGCGCAGGTGCAGCTTGACGCTATCAGCTATAATCTTGTCATCAGTGCGTGCGGGACGCGCATGCAGTGGCAACGAGCGCTGTCGTTGCTCGGCGAGTCTCGGGAGGCGACGTTGGGGCCCAATCTCTTCTCATGCAGTTCTGGAATCAGCGCGTGCGAGAGAGGAGGGCAGCTGCACCAGGCCCTGCGGCTGCTCGGCCGTTGCGTGAGTATCCGAAGTTGCAGCTGGACATTGTGACGTGCAGCGCTGTCTGGGGCTGGCGTTTGCGGGACAACTGTGGCATTCGGAGCACCGGCATTTTTTGGTTGGCGACTTGCAGCGGGACGCGGTGCAGCCACATGTCACGGATAGGGTGCTTTCGCTTGCGCGGGCGAGGGGTTCTTGGAGTGGTGTTTGGCGCTGTGGCGGTTACTGATTTTTCGTTCGGCAGCCAGTTGTGAGCATAACATGTTGTTAGAGTTTGGGCTTCCTCGCTTTTCTAGTTCGAGAAGGCCACGAAGGCCCACGAAGGCCCAGGCAGGCACATGGTCGACCCACGAATCCGGAAATGTCTATATTTATATGTGTGTATGTGTAAGTGTGAAGGACGAAACGTTCCCACGACACCACATACGGGTGACGGGCACTTGCAGTGCTGAATGTAACGATGATGGTGTACCGTGCGAGGGGCCTTATTCTGTTGTGCCGTGCTGAGTTGAGTCGTGTTGTATTGAATCGTATTGTGCTCGATTGCGTTTTGGGTCAAGTCGTCCTTGGCATCCAACTCTTGATTGACCTAATCTGGATCTTAAGCTCGAGCTGCCTGATCGCATAGCTCGCCCACAGCTTGATGCAATCAACATGTGCGGGGCGCTCAACCAGCTCGAGCCCAAGATCCGTTTCTTTGCCGAAGCGGGACGGAACAATAGGAGGCGAATCCGAACGGAGGCCAAACGCGCCGACGATGGACGGACCCGAAAGTGGCGAACCGAGACGCGACGGACTGAGACAGGACGACCCGAAACAATACGAGACGAGGTGATTGCCGAACCGAGCATCGATGCCAGACGAGCCGAGGCAGAAACCACATGTCGTCTCCTGCCGATGGAGCTGTACTGAAGGAGCCTGAACAACTCGTTCATTAACTAGAACGTGCTCCCCAAAGGCCGCGATGTCGGCGTAAACCGTCCAACATATTTTTTTCGCGCGAGATGCTTTCATCGCGTCTTGCAGAAGGAGCGGTTCTTTGCAGGCGAAGCTCTCGCTCGAGACATCCCCAACAAATCTTTGCAGAGCGAGCGATCCGCTCGAAGCATCCTCATCAAATGGCTACGAGCTTGCGCCCCCCGAGGGTACGAGGCCACCCCGTTGGAGCTGCCCCAAAGGATCCCCCCCATCCAGGGCAGAAGAGCCATAGTTTCTGGATCGGGATGTGGGTTGGGAGGAGGAGGAGGAGGAGGAGGAGGAGGAGGAGGGGGAGGAGGAGGGGGAGGAGGAGGAGGAGGAGGAGGAGGAGGAGGAGGAGGAGGAGGAGGAGGAGCAGGAGGAGCAGGAGGAGGAGGGGGAAGGGGGCGCCTTCAGCCCCACTCTGACAGCCCAGCGCTGGGCCCGAAGCCTCGCGGGCGTCAGGAACCCACGGGCGAAAGGGAAGACATGCAAAAGCATATGGTGTGAGCCAGCGGGCGAAAAGAACCCACGTGTTTTGTTGGCCCCAGGGCCTACGTGCGAACGGAACCCATGTGAACGCACACGGATTCGTGGCTCCTTACATTTAAAGGAGCGTGTGTAAAACAAAAGTACACGGTTTCAGCCAGCGGGCAAAGGAAACCCGCGTGTGTTGTTGGCCCCGAGGCCTACGCACAAGGTTTCAGCTGGTGGGCGAAAGGGACTCGCGTGCTTCGCGAGCCCCGAGGCCTGCGGGCCAAAGGAACCCATGGTAAAGATCAAGAGGGGGGGGGGGGAGACGAGAAGGAGAAGGCCTTCTCAGAAGGCGGCGGGACTTCTCAGAAGCCCTCGCGCCTTCTGGGAGGTGTTCTGCGCCTTGGGGGGGGATGAGAAGGAGAAGGCCTTCTCAGAAAGGCGGCGGGACTTCTCAGAAGCCCTCGCGCCTTCTGGGGGGTCCTCTGGCGTCCTGCGGGGGGAGAAGGCGCAGGACACTTCTCGGGAGGCCGGGGGACTTCCGAGCCCTCCGAGAAGGCTCGCCCCCCTTCGGACCTGTCCCCCATGCTCTGTACTGTGAACCCCCCTCGCACCCTGAAGAAGGAGTGCGGACGTCCCACCACTGCAGGGCGGGCGGTACTGTCTCGTTTGTCTCGGGGACTCCCCCCAAAGTAGGGCACCGTGTTCCCTGATCTGTAATTTTTTGTGATGCGGCCTTCCTAGAGGACCACGCAGCTGACAGAATCAGAATTAGGCTCGCCGCCGATTCCATGCACGTGTGAAAGTGCGTGCGGCGGTTATCCCGCGCACGGGCATTTTTGACGTGGACCAGCATCAACAAAGAAAACGTATTGCTTCGGTTCGCGGGCGTTGCGAGCCCACGGAGAAGCCCAGTGTTTGAGCCCGCGGGCGAAAGGATCCCAGGCAAGACCCCATGGCTTCGCGAGAGACATCCTGGAGAAGTCCCACAGAAGTGGCGCTCCGCTCGAAACACCCTCGACACATTACAACACACTCGCGCTCTGCTCTCAAGGACGCGAAGCGCCTCCCCCTTCTGGAGAAGAGAAAATCGAGTCACTGTTCAGGACCGGGAGATGTGTTCGGGGGGCGTTTTTCGCCCCCCCCCCGCCGTTTCCTGAAACTCCAGCGCTGGGCCCAAAGGCTCGCGGGCGTTAGGAGCCCAGGTAACACACACGGATTCACCGCACGGGCGACGGGAGCCTGTGTTTTTGAGGGCGCCGAGGCCTACGAGCGAAGGGAACGCAGGTACAAACACATGGCTTTGGCCAGCGGGCGAAAAGGAACCCGCGTGTTTGCCTGCCACGAGGCCGACGGGCGAAGGGAACGAACGCATGTCACAACAAGTTGCTTCAGTTCGCGGGCGAAAGGAGCCCATGTGTGTTGACGATTGTCCCGCTCACGCGCGGTAGGAATCCAGTAGAAAACATGTGTTTTCCGCCCTGGAGTTAGGAGCCCATCTAAAAACACACATGGCTTGAGCCCGCGGGCACAAGGAACCCATGTCAAAATGCGTTGTGTCTGCTCGCGGGCGTTAGGGAACCAATGTGAAGGCACTCGGTTTCGGCTCTTCCTCCTCTTCCTCACAGACGAGGCCCTTGCTCGAGAGATCCTCGCAGTTTGCTCAGGCATAGGGCCCCACGGCCACATGTTAGATATCCTCCGTTGGTGGCCCGAGCATGTGAAAACACGGGCTGAGTGCGAAGCGCTCGCTTCGTACATTTATCGTGTACACAACAAGCGCTTTGCTCGAGACATCCTCGACACATGAAAACGAAGCTCCCGCTCGAGACATCCCCACACCTTGCTCAAGAATGAGGCTTCCGCTCGAGCTGTCCTCGACACACGAAGCCGCCGGCCCCCTGCTCGACTGCAGCACTTCTAGAGAAAAAAAGTTCCGCGGGCCCTGCCCGAACATGGCACCGGGGACAGTTTGCAACCCTGGCCAAATCCTTGGGCCCGCACCTCTTCCCAGCAAAAAACGGTGTGGCACCGCGACGACGCCCTGCACGGCCCGCCAAGGCCCTGTGGACGGCCCCCCACGGACGGCCCTGGACGGAAGCACGGGGCAGGCCCGGGAGAGTCCAAAGAGAGGCGGTCGAGAGGTCCCAAAACGAGTCCGACGTTGCTCACGCACGGCGCATGGTCTCTACAGTCAACGCGCACAGTAAGGACAAGCGGCTTTTTCAAGGGTGCCCTTGGGTCCTTGCCTGCCTCAGCCTCTGCGGCCCGTCCCCATCAATTTTCGCAGGCCAGCTTCTCAGGTTCCCTGGGGGTTTGGCCGCCTGCCGCCCAGAATACTTCAACTTCGGCCTCGAAGGGTCTTGCGTCCTTACCACGCGTCCTTACTATACGTTTTCACTGTAAGCGCCTTCAGATCCCAGCCCATCCACGACAGGCGCCAAATTTTCCGTCAGAGCCCCCCAAGATGCATACAACGATTCTCGACGACACTCCCGAGAGGCGGCTCGTGAAGGCCAGGGCATTCAGAGTAGAACTGCATTTGTCCAAATGCCGTCGACGTCCTCGCATAGTCCGAGACGAACCCATGCGGACAGGCCCAGTTCCGTTCAAAACGGTCGCAAGAGATGGTTTCCAGACCGCCTGGTCGCAAGAGATTGTTTCCAGACCGCCTCAAGGCCGCTCCAAGGCGGTCCAATACGGCCCAGGACAGCCCAAGGATTGCCACGGGCAGTCCGAATGCGGCATCAGGGCGCCTTCTTCGCGTACGGGTCGACCCTCGCGTCTCTATGCGTACCCCTCCCCCGCAGGCAGGTATCCCGATCCCGGTCATCGTGCCTGCCTTGGGACCTTGAATGTGGATGTGAATATTCGCAGTGGTACGACGTGCACGTGTCAGCAGGGCATCCACTACCAACCTTCAGAATCTTGTTGGGAGCGACGCCAAGAGCTTTCGCCTGACGTCCGAGAGCTGCGGTGCTGAATGAAAGGCGTGTGAGAATCACGAGCTGTGGCGTCGGGCCCTGTCGCTGCTGAGCGATGTGCGGAGAGGTGAGGTGAGGCCAGAGGCTGGCATCGTCAGCTACAGCGTTCGTGTCAGCGCTGGGAAGACGGCCAACAGTTCCAGCAGTCTGGGGTGGAAGTTTCACGGCTCAATGGCGCAATGGTTATAGAGCATCGTCGTGAGCAGGTTGAGGCCGCTTGGAAGCAGAGGAGCTGCCGATGCTCGACCGGGCCAACGGCTTTCGCTCGCTCACGGTGCCCGAGTGTTGCTTGCCGTCCTCCCGATCGAGAGGGCGAATCTTGCGGCACACGTCTGGAACGTGAGAGGCACCGAGCAGTAGCCCCGTGCGTTTGCCTGCGAATATTCGATGCACCCTGCCTGGTACCCTCTTTCGCCTCATCGGGGGCGGAGGAGGGGACAGGGCGGGGGTGGGAAGGGCCATGGCGGGAGCGGACTGAGATGAAGATAGAGGGACGGGGACGAGAGGGGAGGGGCAGGGGGGCATGACCAGGCGCGGTTGCCGAGGGGGCGTCGTTCGAGGCGGGGTGCTGCCAGCAGCAGCTCATCAACCATCAGCTCGCTCAGAGGGAGTCGTCGGTCACATACGCGCCTTTGGACTTCAGCGTGCGCGCTCGGTACAGCGGAATGACGGACACGTCGTTTTGAGGGATAGGTTCGCCTCTCGTTGGGCGTCTCAGCCCTCTCACCCTCCTCCCTTCCTCCCGCTCCCGTCGGAGGCGCTCTGTTCCCACCCATGCTCCCCCCGACATCTCTTGACCTCGGACAGGCGTCCACGTGGGCCCGAATCAGGAACCAGAAGCCATAGTACACCACCATAGGGGGCGCATTTGATTTTCTCATCCCAGCATGTCTCATTGCTGCCGATGGCCCCAGCGAAAGGCGGGCCAGGGGCGCCAGGCATGACGGGCGGGGGGGGGCCGCTAGGCAGCGTCGAGGGTGCTCCGCGAAGCGTTCCGCCGCCTACACGGCTCCAGACTGCGTCTGGAGGCGCGTTCTCTCTCGCAGCAACCCTGGACACCGCACGCGTGCTCTCCCTGTGCAGGGAGCCCGAGCGTCGCTATGCGCATTGGCCCATTACCGGACCCCTACTTTGGGAGGCGCGTCCCCGCTCCAAAGGGGGGGGGATGAGGGGGGGGGAGGAGGAGCGGGAAGGGAGGGGGGGGGAGAGGAGGGGAAAGGCGGTGGCAGATGGAGGAGGGAGAGGACAGGAGGCGTTTGGAAGATGATCTGATCACCAGGAGTAGCAGGAGGATAAACTGTGTAAGGAATAGGACGACGACGATGAGGAGGGATCGCAAGCACGGCGAAGGCTCGTCTTCTGCGCTCCAAGCAGACCGGCGCCCCCCCCTCCCCGCCCAGAGGTGATACCGCTCGGGCACGTCGCGTCCCAGGCGCTGCGGGCGGTGGAGGCGGAGCTGCAGGAGCCCGGCCGAGGGTCACGGTGCTCGCGCCTGCGTCAACCCAGACGGTTTTGGCATCGCTCGGACATGTGCATTTTTCCTTCGGCGAGGACCATCGAGGAGCATCCTTGACCACTTGGCAAAAAAAGCCACGCACGAAACCGAAAAGATCACAGGGAATGGACGTCCGAGCGATGGTCAGCAGTCAAACCGGGTCTCGAGTTTCAGGGAAGGGTGTCGCAACCGCGCGCGGAGAGCGTCCAGGGAGCGGTTCCGCCTCGGCAAGGGGGGCCTGCGACGCTGGGCGGTGGGCATTCCCTGGTGGAGTCTCTTCGCAAGAGGGCCTGGGACGCCATAACTTCGCCCGCCCAAGGCGCCACAGTCGAGCAGTGGCGAAGCGTCCTGGCTTGCCGATAGGCTCTCCAAAGAATGTCATAGGAACCTTGTGTGGCCTGCACGAAATGTTCTTAGAACATGTCTGGCTGAGACTGACGTGTTTTAGCACATCGGGCTTACGCTCTAAGAACGTTGCTTTTGTCCTTAGAACATGTTCAGGTTCTAAGAACATGTCGTGGTAGGCCTACAGGAATGCCGGGACGGTCGGTCCTTGCTCAACGCAGGCGTGCCAGATCACTCACACAGGCAACTCAGGTAAAGGGGAGTAGATGTTTGTATGCAGTCCCCGCGCGCGAGGGCGCGCCCCTGGGTGGTCTGTGGTCCTCACTCGGCCGCAAGAGCGGGTAGAAAGCGTGCGACAGCTCGCCAAGACAGGGTGGAGAGCCAGCGAAATACCGCCAAGAGCGGGCGAAGAGTTGGCCAAAGCACACCAAGAGTGGGGGAAAGGCTTCCAAGAGCGCGGATCAATACGCGTCAGGCCCTAAGTCGGTCCCAATGTTGCCACAACACGCTGTCAAAGAGGGCCCAAGAGTAGCCCAACAGCGGGGGCCAGTTGGAGGCTGGCCGCAAGCTGGCCCCGAGAGGCTTCATGATGACCCCAAGGTGGCCTAATATGGTCCAATACATGTTCCAAGCCCTTTCCAGGAGGCACGAAGAAGCGCCTGAGAGGCCCCTGACAGCTCCCTGATCGCCTCTAGAGACTCCCGGCTCTATGGGAAACAAACATGTGTGCGCTCTGCGTTTTGGACCGTCCTGCCTCTGCGGGCTCTATAGTGGGCTTCTCGGTCCCCGAGGTGGCCCCAAGAGAGCCCTCGGATCAAAACGTGGCAGGCCCCATTGAAAAGTTATTAAAAAATGATTATATAAAAAACAAAAAAACGTGGCAGGCCCCATGCGGGCCCCAATCTGGCCCCGAAGCGAGTTGAACATGTTGCCCAGATTGTCTCAGGATTGCACAGGACGGCCCACGCTGGCCCCGAGTGGTCCAGGACAGCCTGCACGAGGCCCCTGAAATGCTCCCACGAGGCGCACATGTTTCAGCCATCCGCTGTTTTGCTTCAAGTGGTTCTTGTGTTCTGGCCTTTTCGCCTCAGATGGCTGTTGGGTCCTCAAGATGGCTCCATGGCTTCTCAAGATAACCCCAGGTGGAGCCCAGCAGGGTCCCGAGCGGGGCCCGAAGACCCCCAAGAGGGGCCGGAGATTGGGGACCTATGGGCGGCAGGCCCCCAAGAGGGCCCACGAGGCTCCAAGGCTCTCCCAAGGTGGCCCAAAATAGTCCACGCCAGCCCTCACGAATGCGACGAAGGGTCCCGAAGAGGCCCCAAGATAACCCCAAGGTGACCCAAGATGGACCAAGACATCCAGGAAACGCACCCAGGGGCCCGAACTAGCCGCAGAGAAGACACCAGAATCGGCCCAGAGACTCCCAGGAGTCCCCGAATATGCTCTGACAACATACGAAGCGGCTCGAGGTCGCAAAAGCGTCACTGTGTTCTTACCAGCGGTGGCTGCCACAACCTACTGGAGGTTCGGGGCAAAGGCCCGGCTGGGCGGGTCGAGGGAAGCATTGGAAGTCACGTGATGCCCACCTCCTTCTCCTTCCCCTCCTCCTCCTTCTCCTCCTCCGCCTCCTCCTCCTCCTCCTCCTCCTCCTCATTGTCGTGGTAGTGGGCGTCGAGCTCCACCACCACGATGTTACTGCTTCGAGGGCGGAACCTTGGTGGCGGCGTGGTCCGTCGAGTGTTGCCCTCGATCTGCCCAGAGACCGCTGCTGCACCGTGCGAGCCCCAGGCTGCGGCGGTGCTGTCATGTGGGCCAGCGGAGTGCGCGAGGCGGTTGGTGTCGGTGCCTCCCTGCGGGGGCGGGGGCGGGAGCGGGCGCAGGGCGGTCTTGGCCGCTCTGAGCAGAATGAGGGGGAGAGAGAGAGGGAGAGGGAGAGGGAGAGAGAGAGATCGAGAGAGAGAGAGAGAAATGACAAACAACTTAGAAAGAGAGAGAGAGAGAGACCTGGCATCGCTCGGGCGTGCGCATTTCTTCTCGCCGGGGACCATCGAGGAGCATCCTGCAACCAAAGCACGCACGATACCGAAGCATGCATGAGGAATGGACGCCCGAGGAGCGATGGCAAGGAGAAAGATAAAGAGAGAGGAAATAGCTACACACACATATATATATATATATACGTCGGAGGTTGGGGGGTGAGATCGAAGTGGAACGGAGAGCCCCCCTACCGGGAAATCGATTTCGGTTTCGTGTTCGTGCGTGCCGTGCGGGCGAGTCGAAGCTGCGTGGGCGGGCGAGAGAAAGTCTCCTGTGGCTGAGGCGCGGCCGGAGCAAAAGAACCTTGACCGGGCGGCCGGTGCCCCGCGGTGTCCCGTCGGTGTCCCGCTGGTGTCCCGTGTGGCTGAGGCGCGGCCGGGGCAAAAGAACCTTGACCGGGCGGCCGGTGCCGCGCGGTGTCCCGCCGGTGTCCCGTTGGCGTCCCTTCGGTGTCCCGTCGGTGTCCCGATGATGGCGTGGATGATTATGATGATGATGATGATGATGATGATGATGATGATGATGATGATGATGGTGATGGTGATGGTGATGGTGATGGTGATGGTGATGGTGATGGTGATGGTGATGATGATGATGGTAATGATGATGCTGATGATGATGATGATGATCATGATGATGATGATGATGATGACGTCGATTGTGAGATCGATTGTGATATCGATAATGAGACCGAATCTGAGATCGATTGTGCGATGCTGATGGTGATGATGGCCATGATGGTGATGCTGATTGTGATGATGATGACGACGTTGATGATGATGATGTTGATGATGATGATGATGATGATGCTGATGATGATGATGATGATGATGATGATGATGATGATGATGATGATTGATCGAGTGGGTTCGATTGAGAGACCGATGGTGAGATTGAGTGAGTCCGATTGAGTGAGACCGATAGAGAGATCGATACTGAGATCGATAGTGCAAGAGGCGGCGCGGGCTGCGCCAAGCTTTGCCAGCGCTTCAGTCTTCTGTGGCCAAATGGCGCCGTTAGCTGCCGTTGCGCAGGTTGGGCAGGTTCCCAGGGGAAGGGTGACATAAACAACTCGACACCAACGCCCCCAAGAGCGAGCGGCAACGCAACTATCTCCACTGGCATTGTCACAACAACATTCACCACTGTTGCCCATTGCTGCCCCCCCCCCCCCCCAACCTCCTTATCACCCGCAGGGTGGTCGTATAGGTATGTATATATATATACATGTATTTATTGAGAGAGAGAGAGTTGCCACAGCTTGGACAGGACGATGGAGATGAAACGAACACATCATGCCAGGGGCGGCTTCCCGCATTCCGCCCTACGTTCTCCTGGGGCGCGTGGAAAATGCCAGTGTTTTGTGCTGTCGGGCTCTTGGGACGCATGCAAGTCCACGTGGCTTCAGGCCTGTGAACTTTGAAAGATGAGTGCGAGCACCGTGGCTTCCTACTCCGATTCCCTCGGGGGCATCAATTCGGCTCACCTCTCGCGCACGTCTTGCATCATGGACCTCCAGACGCGCCTAGCCGGCAGACGGCGCAAAGGAACCTCCATGCGGAGAGCCCCTCGCGCACGCTGTGCCACCTGGGCCTCCAAAGGGCCCCAGCTGGCCCTCAACACGGCTGAGGCGAGCCTGCTTCCGGCACGCCCCCCACGCGTGTCGTTCGGGCCCCTGGAACTGCTTGCTGTGCAGTCTTTTGTTCGTACCGCTGTCTGGAAAAATTGGTTTCCAGAGATGTTGGGTGTCCGGGTCTAGCGTGTCTGGGTTCACGGGGGACCCTCAGCGAGCCCCTCAAGATGATGCGGGGGGGCCTGGTTTCGGCACGGTGCACACACGTCGTAGCCCGTGGGCTCCAATTGGCGCTCAGCTGGCCCCCAAGAGGCCCCCAGACAGGCCCAAGCGCGCCAACTAAGGCCGCAGGAGGCTCCAAGATGGCTTCGCGAAGCGTCGAGACGCAACAAGTTGCAACGATTGGCACCGTCACCGCAAAACGGCTCCCGCACTCCCCTGTGGAGGCCACGACGCCCCCCCAGCCCCCCCAGGTGCAAGAGCCAAGGGGACAATTGCAACGACTGGTAGAGCCGTGTCGAAGCCGTACCCCCGAGCACCCACTGATTGCGAGATTTGCGTGCTCTTATCTCCTGAGGGCCCGCCGTGAGTCCCGCTCCACGGGCTCAGCACGGATGAATTGGCGTTCATCGTGCTCACCTCGCCTTCAGATTTCTCACGGCTCGACAAGATCGCGACAGGAGTATTTGCGTAATGTTCAGAATTGGGAGTCCAGAGTCCAGGCCGTGGAACTGAAAACATTTCCTCGAGATAAACAACAGCGTGTCTTTGGGAAGGGGTCGCGAGCTCTGGGGGACGGCGACAAGAAAACAGCGAGTCGCAAAAGATGCGGTCATTGTCTCTCTCCTTGCAAGCATGCTCGTTGCATGTGGTCTGGTCAGTGTAGAGTCAGTGAATACGTGGGCGGCATGGAAGCAACGGGAATATCAATACACCAACGCAGTGCGGCTACTCGG